CGACTTATCTATCACGTGGCAACGACTAAGTAACTCGTGGCCACGACATAGTATCAAGTGCGCACGACACCTTTGTACCACCGTAAATATCAGTATTTAATTAAGTTATAATAATTATTTGAAAAAAAAAACGTGATGAAATAATTTAAAAGAAAAAAATCTTTTATTTAGATACGTGACTAAAGCTACGCTAAGATAAACAACATCCAATGAAAATGCGTTATTTACACCACGTGGTTTACACACGCATCGGGGTTTCTAAAATACGAAGGAAGTGGCCCGTACGGCTAACCAAAAGTTAGTCACGTAAGACGTGAGTCACATTCGACTAGCCAGGACACACTGTATTGTCTAGCCGTACGGCACTTTTCAAAATTATATGAAAGTCGAAAATGCATATGTTATTTTGTGTCTTTAACGAGGATTTTAAACAAGTCCCCGCATTTGCCCTCATGTGTTCAATTTAATAAAGATGATCCGCCATTTTGTAAAAAAATGAATACGAAGGTAATGCAAGCGTTTCATATAGTACATACATACATACATAGAATAGATAGATATTTTCGGTACTTTTTACATCTTAAAGGTGCCGATTATACTTATTTAAACACAAAAAAGATTATTGTCACAATTGTGTAAGCTATTTCAATTGATGTTGTTCAACTGCAACCAAACACTATTTTATCTCGACGTCTGGAGATGATAAAGATCGATATTCGTACTTTCTTTACTGTTCCCAACAAGGCGATTAATCTCTAAAAAGTAAACATACTAGGCACTTACAAACTTGCTTGCATGATTTCAGCCGGCCATATTCCCTAGCCATGTAAGATAACTCCCTGTTTCCCTGTCTAAAATTCCACCAAATTATTCCCCTTTCAAATTTACTCAAAGAAGAGACCTTTTAAAAAGACTTTGTATTTATTTATTCGATTTTTTGTTCAGAAACGGACAATGTTTTTCTTTACCTTTGTTTAATTTGCTTCCTATCTATATATGGTTCCTTTGGTAAACATATGAGTTTTGATGGTAAACAAATGAATTTTCTGAACCGAAAGTAATCTAACACACAGCGTTGCTGCCATCACATGTAAACAATACATTAAATCGGTAAGAATATTGAGATATTTGTTTGACTATCAGTTTCAAATGCAAAATACTAATATGGAAAACAACTTTGTGTAGTTTATGTGTATTGTTTTAATGTGTTTGTCTGATATTTTAGTTGTAAAACCCATGTACACTTAGTGTCGCTTCATAGCAACCGAGTTTAAAACGTGAGCGGTAACTGAACGAGATATGGCAAAGCGCATGCTCGCGCACTGACTTCCGCTCTATCGAAATACTGCATATACGTAAAGCGAAAGTTCGTAAGTGCTAGGACAATTGCTGTTTCTTTTTTTAAATCCTCGCTATAAGTCATAAAATAACATATGCATTTTCGACTTCCATATAATTTTGAAAAGTGCCAATACAGTGTGTCCTCGCTAGCCGTACGTGACTCACGTACGGCTAGAACTTTTGGCGAGCCGTACGGGACCGTACGGCTAGCCGCTTCCAAATAAGTGACTTTTCTGACGAAAGTGAGCAAAAGTGACTTTAAAAATATAACTTATAGCATTTTACTAGAATTTTACAATCAAATTGTAGTTTGCAGACGAATAATACTCAAAACTTATTATATTTATTATCAAAAATAATCATAATAATGATTTAATCGCCATTTATTTGCATAATTTCTATACACAAGTTCTGAGATCTTCCTATCGGTCACATTGAAAAATACGAGTGACTTAAAAGATATCAAAAAAGCTTTTAAATTGGAAATTATGCTAATACGCGGTTTTAAGACGTATATTATCAGAAATTAATAATATTTATTGTCAAAAATAATCATTATGATGATTTATTTGCATGATTTTTGTATTCAAGTTCAGCGATCTTCCTATCGCTCACACTGAAAAATACGAAAGTGACTTATAAAATATTCAATATAGTATTTTAATTGACATTAATAATAATTTTGCAGTTTGTAGGCGTATTTTTCATAAATGTTGATACTTTTTTCCCTAAAAATAATGATTATGATGATTTAATATCAAATTATTAGCATAATTTCGATACTGTATACAAGTTCAGAGATCTTCCTTTTGCTCACTGAGAACAATACGAAAGTGATTTATTTGGATGACTGTGAGCGAGAGGAAATGAAAGTTAAAATAAAGTTAAATTGAATTTGCAGTTTGTAGACATATATATTATGAACACTAAATTTGTTTTAGGTGATTTTTTTAAATCATTAAGATGATTTAATCTTCATTTATTTGCACAATGTTTATACATTAGCTAAGACATCTATCTTCCTTTCGCTCATTGTGAACTTGACGAACGTGACTTATTGAATGTTTAAAAATACTTATATTAATATTGCAGTTCGAAGAAAGTACAGTATAAATACGTTACATTTATATATTTTGAATAAATATTAATGCATCATAAAGATCATTATGTCCCGATTTTCAGACAAAACATAGCTTCAGTATGTTTTGTCCTGTGATCCTTAAAGTTGGTAGGGAAGTTGATCATCATTCACAGATGACCCCTATTTATTTTAAGATCAGTAGGTCAAAGGTCACTAACAGAATGTATGAAGTGGGGGATATTTCGTGTTCTACGAAATTTTGTATATAATATACACACAGTGCAATTTTTGTGACCTCGTGTATGATCGCCACAACACGTAACTATGCAAGATAAAAGGAAATAAGAATTCCTTTTAAATATGGCCCTTCCTTACTTTTTATACTGTATACATATTTCACAAGACCGTCTCCGTGGTCGAGGGGTAAGAGTCGATGATTTCTAATCTATTTACCTCTCTGGCGTGGGTACGATCCCCGGGAGATGCTTTGGTAGTTTAGCGCTAAGGAAGGTAGTCTTGTACTGGTGTAACTTTCCAGGAACGATGGTTAGGAAACTACCCGACTATATGACTGAAATACTGTTGGGAAAAGGCGTAAAATGAAACAAACAAACATATTTCACAAGTAGTGTAACTTCAATTACTGACTTTAACAACAATTCTACTGCCGGCGTATAAATATTTACTTTGTATAATAAAGTACAACTAATAAAGTTACTACTAGTAATACTTTGAATCAATAAACGACACTGACGAGTGGCATGATTCGGGAAATGTTGTGACCAATGTATATCTTTCGGACAAATTTGATATTTTTGACAAATTTGTTTGGTTTTATATTAGCGCGGACTTAAATTCGCGCATTTGTCCTAGCGCAAAATACGAGATAATTCATCCTACGTGACTAAAAATGATTCCACTGTAATTAAACAGCATTATGATTGAAAAAATAATAGGGGTTATCTTCTTAATTTCTGAGTTATCTGCCCCTGAGAGTAAGTTTTATTTTATTATTTTAGGTCACTCTCTCTGAAGCGTTAAATGTCATCCCACTTGTTCCAATGAATATAAATTTCAAAAATGCAGTGAAAAGATAATAATATACCTACTGCGATCATTTATGAAACTTAAAATAAGTTTTAAGTTTCAAGTCAATATCTGCTCATATTGATGGGTGTACAGGACAAAGTGATTCTTCCATGAAACACCCCACAATCTGTTTTTGTGCAGGATATAAAAACACCATCTATCTTCAGTCCATAAAAGTCAATCTCTCTGAAAGTGGTTATGATCCTTTTTACTGTAAATGATACATTTTTAAAGCAGCCAGTAGAGTCTGCATTTCAAACTGGCTAATTATTCAAACTTCATAGCTGTATATAAGAATACAAAGTAAACAAGATAGATGTCAGACAAACCACAATATTGAAATATCATCCTGTCAAGCAGTAATATGTTAGCTGAAAACATTTACCGACCAATTTGTTATGTAATCTAATTAATGAAAATTTACAAACACATTATTGTTTAAATCAACAAATTTGAAATGGTATATCTCTAAATTCCCATAGAAAAAAGGGACAACGAAAGATTATTGATATATTACACTTTGAATGTTTGCTAAGATGTACTTGCTTTCTATTTGAAGAAGGTTAAAAAACTCAATAAGCATAAACATGTGATGATTATTGAAATGATCACAATAAAGCATTTTGATTAAATTATGACGTTTGCATTTAATCAAATACTGAGTAACATTAATGCATTGGAACTTACACTTAAACTACGCTCATCAAATAAAATAAAAGAAACAGGATAAAGAAAGAATAACTATGTGATAATTTATAGTGATCATAAACTTGTATTTGCTGAAAAGCAGTAGTTTAAAATACAATGTATACTTACATTACACAAAGAATTTTTGTATCAAATAACGAAGTACTGGCCTGGTAAGTATACATATAAGATTTTAAGTCCAATTAATTGCAACAATTCCCAAGCCTCTATAGTTTCTTCTATTGTAATCGCTGAAACGAGGTTAAACAGCTATACTTAACAAGAAGGCAAGTATAACCCTATATCCATGTGTATACAGTCTCTACATTTTAAAGTGCTTTAAACAAACTAGAGCTACCAACAGAATAAAAATACCTGATCTTAATGGCACATATCATTATTTTTGAAAGAAAATAAGTTTGAGAAAATTAATTTGAAAGTATTAGTGCTGGACAAAATGTTCTAATTGCTTTATTCAACCTTTGAGACAATTTTGAAGAATAGACTGACGGTAAATTTTCTCGCGCTTTAATGAACGATACCGACCACCATATCTGTTGCTGTTTTTTGTGTGTAAATGTTAATTTCTGTTAAAGCCGATACTAGGGAGCTTACATTTCACATCTACCGCCCATAAACATTCTGAATCAAACACTGTAACATGTTAAATGCCGTGCTGGTCGTTTGTTAAGAAACACATGTTTTTTATATTTTATTGGCACGTCTGAGCAGTGCGGCGGCTGTAAAATACCTCCCTGTGCATCCAATCATTGTGAAAATGTTTCATGATGTTTTTTTCTAGTATCAGAATCCAGACAGAACCAAAACTGAAGTTAAAGAGGTTATGTCGGCATTTCAAGACTTCAGGCCAAAGTTTGAAGAATTTAGTAAGTTTTGTAAAGATTAAACAACAACAACAAAAACAACAACTATGAAATTCTGTGTTTAATTATTATGAAATGATGCATGTTCTTAAAAGTTGATATTCATTGACTTTTGTTTGAAATGACTCCGTCACATGTTTACATCAAGTGATAAAAAAGTTGTCTGGAATTTTCAAACAAAAAATTGTAATATGATTTCGACGGCCTTTTTGGCAGATTGAGTTGTTTGGGTTATTGACAATGAAACAATTATACAATCACAAATAGATTTGCAATTGAGTGAATGGAGCACCACACTATAAATATACGGGACAGGACGCTTAAATGATTAAATGCTAAAATTTCGCCTTTTCACCTAGCAAGAATTCCAACGCGATAAGAAAACTGGCCAATATATCTTTTTATTTAACCGAACTTTTGAAAATTAATAAATAAGCTCATACGGCTGCAAAACGGTTACTCTTTATCCCTTCATCAAGGTTATTTCCTCGAAAATGTTTACTAATCAAGATCATTCATGAAAATGATTACTTGACTATCGTTTTCAGCGAGATTTTGGCTTTTTGTAAGAAAATAAGTTTGAGAAAATTAATTTAAAAGTTATAGTGCTTGACAAAATGTTCTAATTGCTTTATTCAACCTTTGAGACAATTTTTGAAGAATAGACTGACGGTAAATTTTCTCGCGCTTTAATGAACGATACTGACCACCATATCTGTTGCTGCTTTTTTTTGTAAATGTTAATTTCTGTAAAAGCCGGTACTAGGGAGCTTACGTTTCACATCTACCGCCCATAATCATTCTGAATCAAACACTGTAACATGTTAAATGCCGTGCTGGTCGTTCGTTAAGAAACACATGTTTTCTATTTTATTGGCACCTCTGAGCAGTGCACCTCCCTGTGCATCCATGAAATGGGATTTAAATCGTTTTGAAGAGGTAACGCCGATGTACGTGATTATTGCACAATTATGCGTTAATTATTGCACGAATCGTGTGTTATTTTCACATTCAAGCGTTACTGGATATGCACATGAAATAATGCACCAGTAAAGCTTGAAAGTCTCCGTATGTCCTTTATTGTGTTGGCGTGATGTGAAACCCACCAAACCAAAACAAATATTTGGCTGTAGCAATTTGCCTGGTGAACTGTGAAATGAATTATTTATTTAATTATTTTTTTCTCTTATATAAAGAATTAACTTGTATTCAAAAGATATTTTACTTAGAAACTATAATACCCAAAAACTTGTAAAAGCATAACCTTAAAGTTAAATAAATTATAACCCTAGGCCTACTTAGTTTCTTATTATATGTTAACTTGTATGGGAAAAACATATGAATCTACCTCAAGAGTTTATGCTAGGCATTACTATATAGACGATAACTAAACTAACAGAACTAATGACCCTAAAAGAGGCCACCAGTACAGAACCAGGTCACATCCATACGAGTGACCATTTGCTTACTCAGGTACGTAGTCCATTTGTAAAAATACATTAAATATCTAATAGCAATATCTATGACTTTGAATGAACTGTTCCAAGTTCACAGCTGAGCAAAACCATTTCATAAATTTACCAGGTAAAGGGTGACATAGACTAAAGATAGGGTGAATATATTTTGATTACTAATTCAATGATTATGTACATGTATATGGAGAGCTACATGTGTTTGTGGAAGATTTCATCTATCCATGCCATGAATGGCTAAAAGTGGACTTCTTCATGTCTAGTAATTAATAAAGAGTGAGAATAAGGAAAAATTTTATAATTAAACAAAGCTGATTTTCATAACTACAATCTCAATAGGTATTGAAAAATTGCTTCCCTTTTGCTTCCCCGTTGTTTCCTCGAGTAAGAAAATTTTCACTCATTGCTTCGTACTCACTTCAACAAAGACTTATATTAGGAAGCTTATAGCTCTGTGGTTTCAGGGACGGATTCGATACTGTCTTTTTTCTACGCATTCAAACTAAAATAAATTCTGTATAAAATGATTGAAGTTTCTCCACAAAAACATATTTGAAAAGTGCTGATACTCGCCGATTTATGGCGTGAAACGTGTAACAGTTCAGTACATGTACCATATAATTAAAAATCACATTTTCCGGCGTTACCGCAGAACATTATTCACGTACATCGGCGTTACCTCATAAAAACGACTTAAATCCCATTTTATCAGCTTACTTCGATTTTCTATATCACCAGAATTTTAGTAAATGCCACTTGCCTACCTAAAATCGAAATTATACCGAATAATATGCATTGTTGTACTTAAGAGTCGACAAAAAGCCAACATCTCGCTGAAAACGATAGTCAAGTCATCATTTTCACGAATGATCTTGAAAAGTAAACACTTTCGTGGAAATAATCTTGATGAGGGATAATGAGTTATGTCTTTGCAGCCGTATGCAGCTATTCATTATTTTCAGTTCGGTTAAGTAAAAAAAATATTTGTCAGTTTTCTCATCGCGTTGGAATTCTTATAAGGTAGCCGCCATTTATTGCACAATTCTTCGTTACTTATTGCACGAATCGTGCGTTATTTTCACATCCCGACGTTACTGCATATACACGATGTACAAGTCCCACAGAAATCGGAAACATAGTAAACTAAAACCTTTGGAAATAAAAAAACTATAGAAATTATTTAGTTAGATACATGTATAAACAAACTTACCAATTAAATTTCTATGCTGATTTTTATTAAAGTTATTATATATGCATATATTTCTATCGTCTTTGAATACTGAACTGAAATTCATCACCGATATCGTTACAAAGTGTACATTTTCGTTTTTGATCAGATTGAAATCTTCTTTATCTTTTGATATAGAAACTTCACCTGATGAAACAAAGCTTCTGCTCCATTTGCATGGAACAGTTCCCGCAATTTGGAAAGGTAATAAGAACTTCAAAACTTACTTAATGTTTTGAAAATTTATTTCATTTAAGGCCCATTATGCCTCAGAAATGCAATCATTTTATTACACATATTTTTATGTTTTTTTATATTTTTGTTCCAGTTTCAAATAGTTACCTCATAGTGCTATCTGTTGCTTCATTTGCTTTGATGGCAATTGGTGTAATTATAGTTAATTAGTATTTTGAATGGAAGTTAAAATACTACTTTGTTTAAATTTTGCTACCTGTGTGGCACATTATTGCACGTTCAGTGATACATTTTTCAGTTGTTAATATGCCCTAAATACATGCTTTACATTTCATGAGAAATGAAAAAATATGGGTTTTTGATGTATGATGCGCTTTTTACAGTATCGGAGTTTGTTTCGGGATGAAAATGTTGAAATGAACAAAGACATACCGATAATAATGGCAATAAAATGGCTAAGTTAACATCCTATTTCAGCTAGTTGAGCATCATTATGATTTAAAACAAAGACATATACGATGTTTATAATATTTCTGACATGAATACTCATACTACCATAGAAAACTGAAAAACGGGAGATATATCAAAAGTAATGATAACAGCAATATTATATAAAAATGGCAGATACAGTTTTAGTCACCATCTAGAACCGTCTAAAGCGATATCCAATCCTCAACACATTGATTTGTCGTAAGTAAGGGAGTTTGGTGATTGTTGTACTAAATGACAAGCGATGTTTTTTGCTACCGACAAATATGCTGAGTGGTCACCATAGTGACCAGTCCACTGTTAATTGGAAATGTTTCTATCTAGGTAATACGTATAATACACCTATAGCTGTATGGATATCAGACGAACACCCTAACACGGCGCCGACGGTGTTCGTCACAGCTTCAACGTCCATTATCCCCAAATGGTATATGGATATAAATGGAAAAGTATATACAGGATACATAAAACAGTGGAACGTAAGTTTTCTATTTCAAGTTACCGACTACCTCGTTATAAACACATTCTCTCACAACTGGGTCATATAATCAATTTCTCGAGTCAGATCAGATTATCATATTAATTGTCACTATTGAGTGTTCATCATTGAGTGTTTTAGGAAATAAAATTTGAAGCACACAATTTGATGTAGTCAACTTACGAAGTCATATTTTTATTAAAAAAAATTGATTGTTAGTTATATATACAATATAAAACAAATTTATATTTTTCAATAATTCGTATATTTATCAGAAAATGTATTTAACGTAAAAGAACCTTAACTCGGCAGAGTCCGTAACTCGTCATGTTTTTATTTTGTTGTCTCCCTTTCGATCACGTGAGCCGAAAGCTTTTGAGTGGGAATTGTTTGAAAGGTAAACAGTTTATTTATATTATGGTTTGTATTTTATATCCATATTATAAATTTATATATTTGTGGGCGTCCTTGGCCGGGTGGTTAAGGTCGTTGACTTCAAACCATTTGCCCCTCACCTCTGTGGGTTCGAATCCCGACAGGGACTTTGGATTCTTTCATGTGAGGAAGCTATCCCGCTAGCTTACGGAACGTTGGTGGTTCTACTCAGGTACCCGTTCGTGCCTGAAATAATGCACGGAGGGGCACCTGAGGTCTTCCTCCACCAGTAAAGCTGGAATGTCGCGATATGACCTATACTGTGTCGATGTGACGTAAAACCCAAAACAAACAAACAAACTCAGAATATCTGTATCCATGAAATACACATCGTTTTCGTAAAAGAAATCATCTCAAAAACATGTCCTTCTTCTACTCTGTCGACGACAACACTCAAATTTAGGGGTCTGTGGCGAAGTGGTATTCCGTAACATGCAGTCGATTGATTATCCAAGGAAACACGTGTTGATGTTCTGAAATATTATATTTTGCAACAGTGAGCTCCCTTTGATTAAAAACTGCTCTTATGCGTAGCTTTTGACATAGAGAGTTATTGACGACTCCGGGACCCTATTGACGAGTTACCGTTACCACCATTACTATACTTCTCAATTTATTCAATAACAGTAATATGATATAAATGTAAAGGCCCTGTTAAGCTAAGATTCTTTGTTGTTAGATGTCTATATTATCATAGCCTTAAACAAAAAACAACATTAAATTTGACAATTCTTCAGATACATCTGTGATATACAGATTCAGGATAGAGCCGTTACAAAATGATATATAAAACATAGAATATATAAAATAAAATATATATGCTATAATTAATTTGATGACATGATGGCCCAATGCACTCTGAACAGCTCAAACCTATGCGTGCAGCCCGAAGATGGAAACTAGAAAATATGACGGCGGCTTACAGAGCAGTAAAATATGGGTCAATGAATATTCACTCAGCTGCTGAAAGGTTTGGAGTTCCCATAATGACACTTTCTGATAGAGTGAAAGGCAACGTAAAGATGGACGCGAAATGGGGTAACAAAACTGCACTTACGGCTGAGGCTGAAGAAGAAGACAGTTTAGTGTCTTATATTGAATACATGGCCAAAAAGGGGTTTCCGCTAACAATACCACTTGTTAGCACACCAGAGCCGAAGGCTCAGGGTGAGCTATTAGTATCAAAGGGGGATAGTCCAGTGTCCGTGGTCCGTCGTCATGCGTCAACAATCGTCTTTTCTCTGAAACTACTAAGCAGATTTACTTCAAATTTGGTCTGTAGCATCCTTGCGACAGTCACATTTGAATTTGCTCATGTCATTTCAATTGGCCCCTTTTAGGGGTCAACATAGCTAAAAATAGAAAAACCTTTAAACATCTTCTACTACATAACTAATTGATGGATAATCTCCAAACTTTGTCTGTAGCATTCTTGGGTAGTCGTTTTTATCAAGTTTGCTCATATTAATTTGATTGGCCCCATTTAGGGGTATCTAGGGCTAAAAGTAGAAAAAACCTTTAGACATCTTCTTCTACAGAACTAATCAAAGGATTATCACCAAAATTTGTCTGTATCATTCTTGGGTAGTCTTTTATCAAGTTAGCTCTTATTAATTTGATTGGCCCCTTTTAGGGGCCCCTAAAGCTAGAAATAAAAATACCTTTAAACATCTAGAGAACTAATTGATGGATGATCACCAAACTTTGTATGTAGCATTCTTGTGTAGTCTTTTATCAAATTTGCTCATGTTAATTTGATTGGCTTCTTTAAGGGGTCTCTAGGGCTAAAAATAGAAAAACACTTTAAACGTCTTCTTCTACAGAACTAATGAAAGGATTATCACCAAACTTTGTCTGTATCATTCACGGGTAGTCTTTTATCAAGTTTGCTCACATTAATTTGATTGGCCCCTTTTAGGGGCCGCTTAAGCTAAAAATAAAAATACCTTTCAACATCTATATCTAGAGAACTAAGTGATGGTTGATCACCAAACTTTGTCTGTAGAATTCATGGGTAGTATTTTATCATATTTGCTCAGGTTAATTTGATTGGCCCCTTTTAGGGGTCTCTAGGGCTAAAAATAGAAAAACCTTTAAACGTCATCTTCTACAGAACTTATTGATGGATGATCACCAAACTTTGTCGGGTAGTCTTATATCAAGTTTGCTCATATTATTGTGATTGGCCCCTTTAGGGGCAGCTAAAGCTAAAAATAGAAATACCTTTAAACGTCTATTTCTACAGAACTAATAGATGGATGGTCACCAAACTTTGTCTGTAGCATTCTTGGGTAGTCTTTTATCCAGTTTGCTCATATTAATTTGATTGGCCCCTTTGAGGGGTCTCTAGAGCTAAAAATAGAAAACCCTTTAAACGTCTTCTTCTATAGAACTAAATAAGAACTCATGAATGATCACCAAATTTTGTCTGTAGCATTCTTAGGTAGTCTTTTATCAAGTTTGATAATATTAATTTGATTAGCCCCTCTTAGGGACCGCTAAAGCTAAAAATAGAAAAACCTTTAAATGTCTATTTCTACAGAATTAATTGATGAATGCTCATCAAACTAAGTTGTAGCATTCTTAGGTATGCTTTTATCAAAGTTGCTCATATTAATTTGATTGGCCGTTTTTAGGGGCCACTAAAGTCAAAAATAGGAAAACCTTTGACATCATTTCCTACTGAAATATTTGATAGACAATCACAATACTTTGTAGCATTATTAGGTAGTCTTTTATCAAGTTTGCTAATTCGATTGGCTCAAATTTTATATCAGAAAATTTTGACGACACTGAAAAGCAGTTGTTTCTCGTGAGCGACTCAGGGCCATCATGGCCCTCTTGTCTCTGGATTTTCGTGGTGTATTGCCAAGCAGATAGGGAAAGGCGACGTATTCACTAAGTCTGGTCCAAGAGGTGGTAGCAAGGTTTCCAGAAACGCCATCCACAGCTTCGTTTGCGCAGACCTGATTCAGTTGATCGAGGAGGAGCATCAATAGGAAATGTGTACTCCCTTCGCGAATACATGGCACTACTTAAGGACACGCTGGACTACACTGATCTTCATTCAAAGCCTCACCTGGTTTTCAACTGCGATGATGCAGCCATTAATCTTAACAAGTCCGCTGGACATAGGGATCTCGTACCAAAGGACCAGAAGCATGCTCATAGTATCTCCTCAGCAACGAATGAACATGTAACTGTCCATTGCTGTGTCAATGCCGCTGATGGAACGATACCTCCGATGGAAATCATTTCCTAAACTAACCATATAACAAGAAGGGACCTGTCAATGCCACATACGCTGTGTCAGACACATGCTTCATGGATTAAGAGTTGTACTTTCAATGGTTCCAGAAAAGCTTCCTGAAGTAAGCTCCACCCGAACGTCCCCTGCTACTTATACAAGATGGAGCCAGCTCGCACATGAGTTGTTCTTTCATTCAAAGCGCTATAGCAAATGATATCATCATCATTTGTTTCCCCCGAAGACCACCCACATTACACAACCTCTTGGCGTGGCAGTGTACCGCAAAATGAAAGCAAAGCTGCCAAGATTATGAGCCAAGCAAAATTAATCAAATCCGACCTCTGGGTAGCAAAAAGGAATGTGTCGGCCATGTTTAAGCTTATCTATGAATCAGGCTTTACCATGCGCAGCATAACAGAGGGGTTTCGCAAATGTGGGATCTTTCCTTTTGACACGAACGCTATAGACACGACCTTGCTGCTTCGTTCGTGTGATGTGGTAAACGAGGAGGATATAGCTATCTCAGTCAGTACTTAGGACACCAACATTAAGTCTGAATCTATTCCGGAGTGCGTTGGTGACACACATCCTATGACATCAACACCTAAAAGGTTGCCCAGTGGCAGCGAAGATGTAGCATTTGATGTTAACAGTGTGCACTCTACATGCTCTAGTCCTACAGACAACCACGGTTTTATTGTGTCGCCTCTACGGAGTAGTGGCGACATATAGGGATCACTTCTCCGTCGTCTGTCTGTCCGTCTGTCCGTCCGTCTGTCCGTCCGTCACAAAACTTGTCCGGACTACTCATATGGGGGTTGCGTTCATTGAACGCCGCCTTTCCTTGTTGATCTTGTTTTTCATATTTTACAGGAATGATCAGTACCAAGTCTAGTTGTGCATATTGTCAGCATTTTCCGGTTCAATGATTTTTGTCAGAGTTATGGCCCTTTAATAATTTTTAATTTTAAAGTTTGTCCGGCTTACTTCTCTTATACCACTAATGCAATTTCAATGAAACTTTACAGGATTGATCTGTAGCTCAAGTCCTTGTGCATATTGCACGGGTTTTCCGGTTGAATGATTTTTTGCCGAGTTATGGCCCTTTGATAAAAAGGTGTTTTTTTCTGTGTGTTGCCAGATACACAAAAGCTTGTCCGGACTACTCCTCATAAACTACTGGTTCAATTTCATCCAAACTTTACAGGAATGATCAGTACCAAGTCTAGTTGTGCACTGTCCGTCTGTCTGTTCGTCTGTCACAAAATTTGTCCCAACATGAAATTGGCAATTATGAGGCGACACATGTGATTACTGATCGCTCTTGTGTTTGATGACATCACCTTTGTAGTAGGTAAAGACGGATCACTAACACGCTAGTGTAGAGCCTCAACCTGTCATCAATGATGTTGAGATAGCTGATGGTAACAGTACAGAATGCGCCACCCCCCCCCCCTTGAACTGGCTTTGGCCGCTGTGGAGATGACACTAACACCAAAGCAAAAGAGGCGTTACCATGAATGTTTGAACTTTAATATTGACTTGGAAGATGACAGAACCTATCAAACATGGAAGGACTTGAAGGAAAAGATTGTTGCCCTAGAACCAATTGAACAAGAAAATGAAATACTTTTCGATAGGAAGCAAAAAGGGGTTGTTTCTGAAAGTACGATTGCCAAGCCATGTATAAAGCAGGTGTCGCCCCAAAAATCGATTAAAATGCAACCACTCGTAAAAGCAGGGTTAATTTCAGAAGATCTTGTAGATGTTTTGGTCACGCCAACTTTTGATGTAAATGTAAATCTGCTCCTGGTAGTAAAAGGAAAAAGAAACCGCGGACTTTAACGACAAAAGAAGTCGAAGAAGAACTGATTGAAAAAGAAAAGGAAGAAAAGTCCAAAAGTAACAAGCTGAAAAGGATAGAAAGAAAGGTAGCATTAGAGGCAAAGAGAGAAGAGATACGTAAGAAGAAAGAAATACGGCTGAAACTAAAACAAGAAAAAGAGAAAATCAAGCAAGAGAAAGAAAGTGTCAAGAATGCAAAACGAGTTAAGCGAAAGTTGTCTGACTCAAAATGTAATACAATTGACACAGAGGGATCAAGTGAGTTAGATGATATAGATATTGCTATATCTGCCACTGCCATAAGTGTTATAGAAAAACAGAGACAGGAACTGATCAAGACAAGGAAGGAAAAAAGGTGCTCAGATAACGGAATTTCATTTAGTAAAAACATAAGAACTGATATTCAGGATTGATACATGATTCATGTAGATGAAAATGAATGTTTCTACTTAATTTAGTGTTATGAATGTACAAAATAAGCTTAATGTTACGGTGGCATAGAGGGAACGTGTGTAACATTATTGTAATATCTTGGCTATGGTATAGTTATCTCGTAATCACGAGGTATTATATCGTTGGTCCAACATATTTATCGCGTGACCACGAGATAAAAACAATCTTATACACATCACCTTTATGTCACCGTATAATGTAATATTTTAACCATTTATTATCTTTCATTTCAATTTATTACAAAGGTGTGTTTGTTTGTTAAAATGTAAGAAAAAAAATTCAAAAGTGATGAACTAATGGCCGTTCTTTCATGTAATTAATTACATTACTTTAATAGCTGCTGCATGAATTTTACAAACACATCATTGTTAGCTGGCAAAAGTAATGTTTGTGTAAAATGATAGTTATACCGTAACATGTTGATGTTGTTTAACGCATTATATATGAATTTTGATCAATAAAATAGAGAAAAAAAGAATCCCTAAAGAAAGCCTAACACGGCAAAATTGAAAATGTTGCAGGCTCGGTTTGATTGAGCCTAATGTTATTGGTACTGACGAGTTATGGTTGTTCGATCCTTTAACTCGTTACCGGTACCCCTACCTTATTTCGAGAGCATTCATGATAAGTTTTAAAAAAAACAAACATAATAAGCAAGATCATCAAGGAAAGGCGGCGTTCAATGAACGCAACCCCCACCCGACCCAATTACAAGAGCCAGCGGCAAGGAACCCAGGAAGACTCCAAACAAAAACAGGACAGGGCACAAGGCAGAGCACGGGCAGGCGAACCACTGAAGTCATATATAAGAATAAATAATTAGTAACTGATAAGGAACTAAAAAGAAAATAATGATTGAATAATAGGCCCATAAAGTCAAAGGCACAGGGAAAAAGGAAATGAGACCCGGGAAAGGGGGCAAAAAAAAAACAACAACAAAAAAACAAACAACAAAAACCAGGCAAAGGAAAAGACACCCATCGTAGACAAGAAAACAACAAGGGACACAAAAGTGTCACCAAAACAGTATGAAACAACGTAGACATACATCTAAGGAACACAGAGAGGCGCCGCCTTGGAACGGTCAACAGCATAAATACTCCTGGGGAGTTTAAACCGGATAATGGTGCACCAAACCTCACTCGTAGCCCCACCATGTTCCTATAAACAAGACAGTGTAAATAAAATGAATCCCTGCCAAGTGAAATTCTAACAGTTACAAAAGGTGAAATAAGTTAAACATCGAAATGCTCATGTAGAAACATACAAAAGAAAACCCAATGACAATGACAAAAGTACTCAATGTCTTCAAGGAAGACAGAGCAACAAAAATATCACCTACAAGGGCCCGACGAAGCAAGACAGAAGATGAACAAGAAATCAGACTATGAAAGGTTGGAAAAGGTACACAAAGAGTGCAGGTTTATTTTTAGACAAAATATGAAAAAATATTTGTCACATTCCCCGTTTGGAGCCATATATGTAGCTAAAAGCGACGACTTATGGTTCTTTTATGTTACAAATAGTCTGTTTTAAAAATTAGATAAAAAAGATTTTGTTTTATTTTAGATATATATGTTTTTGTTTTTTATAACTAGTATATGTCAAAGGGTGAAAAAAATGTACAGCATTACCGGACCTCGAAACCGAGTCCCGTGGAATACCGTTGTGCAGATCTACCCACTAAGCTATCAGGCCGCTTCCACATCTTCTCTCCTAAATTTTGAACAGATCCGAACCGTGACATACTCCCCGCTTTGGTGAAAATCGTCCTCTAATTTCTCAGGGTTACGGAGTAATGTGAATTTAACTCTGCGTTATATGCAGTCACGGTTCCACGTTGGGCGCCAAATATCACAAGGTGAAAAAATTGTGCAGCCTGAGCGGGACTCGAACCCAAGACCCTCGGAATACGGTTATGCAGCCCACCGACTGAGCTATCCGGCCGCTTACAGATCTTTTCCCTAAATAGAGAACAGTTCTGAACCGTGGCATACATATTCCTTTTCGTCTTGAATAAGGTACCATCGAATATAAACTCTTTGTAATTTCAAAAAACAAACAACTCGTATATGCTGCGTAATTGGTATATTCCGGAAGTTAAACGATGCTATATTGTTTTTCTGTGTGTTTCAGCAAAACTCTTCATTACTGGAACTTATTTCTGATTTGGTAGAAGTGTTCGGCCAAACAATACCATTAAGTCACTACATATCTAGTTCGGATGGTAAGTACCCCCTGCATGTATATATTTATGTGAAGGGCATTAGTTCTACTCAGGTACCTATTGTACCAGAAACAATACATGGCACCTTGGTTCTTCCTCTGCCGTGAAAGCTGAACAGTCGCCGCTTGAATTTAACGGTGTATGACTTAAAATCCAACAAATACCTTCATATGTACGTACATACGATGTACATACATACATACATACATAAATACATACATAATACATACATACACACAGAGAGACAGACAAACATACATACAGAAAGACAGACAGACACACATACATAATACGTACGTACGATGTACATACATACATACATACATACATACATACATACATACATACATACATACATACATACATACATACATATATACATGCATACATACATACATACATACATACATAAATATACACACACACACACACACACACACACACACATACACACACACATACACACACACACACATACATACATACATACATACATACATACATACATACATACATACATACATACATCTGTGTTTTGTTAGATAAAAACAGTAAAAAGTTTGTTTTGTGAAATTATAACACAGTTTGAAAAACATTAACTAGTACCAGCTGCGCATGCGTTGCTGGTTAAAAGCTTTGTAAATATTATATTGCAAACGTATGAAACATGAAACATTTTTGATTTTTGATTGAAGGTATAAATGAACATTTGCATGACAATAAGGAAAATTACTGATGCTGAATACTTTTTTATGTTTTCTTAAACAGACAGTCATTGCAATAATTCGCACGTTCTTGTATCTTACTTTTTTACAATTGCATCAAAACATCACTTGAGACATGCACATAATATTGCAAAAAATAAATGACGCATACAGATTAGTTTATTTGTTTCAGATCGATCGAAATCCATTGAGGATCTTCAACTTTCCAACGTAAGTATCAAACGACAATGACACTGATCACTTACGAACTTTCGCTATAGGTATATGCAGTATTTCGATAGAGCGGAAGTCAGTGCGCGAGCATGCGCTTTGCCATATCTCGTCCAGTTACCGCTCACGTTTTAAACTCGGTTGCTATGAAGCGACCGTTTTAAACTCGGTTGCTATGAAGCGACACTAAGTGTTCATGGCTTTTACAACTAAAATATCAGACAAACACATTAAAACAATACACATAAACTACACATAGCTGTTTTCCATATTAATATTTTCCATTTGAAACTGATAGTCAAACAAATATCTCAATATTCTTACCGATTTAATGTATTGTTTACCATAGGAACTCGAGAACGGGACCGCAGATTGCGGCGCATATTTTCGATCGTGTAACGGTTTTTAAAAACGTTTCTGCTACATCTAAATATCTTTAAATATTATCCGAGCATATGGTCTCAAACAATATATTATCACTTGAACCCAATCTGTTACTTTTAAAACTGGTCAAATTTTACGTTATTATAAAAAAAGACAAGGAGTGACATCCGCCATTTGCCGCAATGTTCGGCATGAGTTTTCCCCCTTTGGCTACACTTGATTACTATTTTTTCAGAATTTTGTTCCCGTTATCGTTGTCAACTATAAGGTATCGTAACGGTTTAATGTTTACACGTGTTGACATGCACTAGTGTTTGACATGTATAACAGGCGTATTCGTGTTATGATTTGTTTACATGGAGAAAACAGACACTTTAGTAATATGGTCTAATAGATTTTGCCTAACTGAAAAAAGGAATATTAATACATGATCCATAGATAAATATTCAAGGCACTAATCTGGTATTCCTTATTAGGAAACCCATGTATTGAGTGACATAAAGAGAGTACTAGAATAATTAAAACAAAAATCAAGCATAGCAAGGGGGGTAACTTACGCCGAACGTTGCGGCAAATGGCGGATGTCACTCCTTTTCTTTTTTCAATATACCGTAAATTTGACTGATTTTTAAATTAGCAGATTATATTAAATTAGGATAAGATAATTAAAGACCACCCGCTCGTATAATATAAAAAGATATTCAAAGGTCGGACAAACAATACGTAAAGCCGGTACGGATTCGGATTTATGCGCCGCAATATGCGGTCCTGTTCCAGAGTTCCTATGTTGTTTACATGTGATGACAGCAACGCTGTGTGTTAGATTACTTTCGGTTCAGAAAATTCATTTGTTTACCATCAAAACTCATATGTTTACCATAGGAACCATATATAGATAGAAAGCAAATTAAACAAAGGTAAAGAAAAAATTGTCCGTTTCTGAACAAAAAATCGAATAAATAAATACAAAGTCTTTTTAAAATGTCCCTTCTTTGAGTTCATTTGAAAGGGGAATAATTTGGTGATATTTTAGACAGGAAAACAGGGAGTTATCTTACATGGCTAGGGAAAATGGCCGACTGAAATCATGCAAGCAAGTTTGTAAGTGCTGATAATATAAGAAATCGTTTTTTTTTACATGTACACGTACTTTGTTTTCGTAGTTTTAAGAAGTTTGATATTTTGTCGACCATAAAATATTAAGTAATGTGGTTGAACTGTGTACAAATCTTTTCCCTGTTCTTAAAGACTAAGTTTGATCTATTTATGACGTCACATAATAGTTTATATACTGAGCAAAAAAGAAATCTCCCCTGTATTTAAGTGCAGATACACACAAATATGAAAATCAAGATAAAAGTAGATTTATTTGTATTATAAGAGTTATTCTTGTGGGGGCTGCGTTCATTGAACGCCGCCTTTCCTTGTCGATCTTGTTTATCATATTTTGTATTGCGATTTCTTTTGTGAAAAAATATTGCTGTTGGTTTATCAAATAAAAAAAAAAGTGAAATGGCAGTTAAAATGCAGAAGATGTCGACCAACAAAATCACAAATTAATATCGGGTATGACCACCTTCAGCATGAGGGACTGTCTGGCATCTTAGGTCAGCGTATTGATATCGGCCTGTGGAATGTTGATCCATTCCTGATGTTTTACCTGAATGACGTTTTACGATAATTTATCTAACACGCCCAAATTATCCAAAAGGTGTTTCACGGGTTAATGAGATTGAGATCAGGGATTTTGACAGGCCAGTCATTGATGAATGCAATGTGATTCGCCCTGAGGGAATTCACAGTGTCCCTTGCTGTATGACTTGTGGCATTATCATGTTTAAAGTTTCAAAGTTTATTTCAGATCTCAATTCATGTACACATATGGCAATATGACCTATAGCATATAAACATAATTTACATAAAAGGCAACGCATACACGTGAAAAAAAAAATATTAATACAATTCATCTTAAGAAAATGGAGAGAAACACGCATTTCCAGGGACATGATAAACAAATATGTAGACATGTAATCTATTCTCAAATTTTGTGATTATTCCTTAACAAATAAACAAAAAGTTTTTTTAACATTTGTCGTTTAAGATTGATTATAACTTTCTTTTAATTGTTTTTTAAGCTCACCATAGCCGAAGGCACAAGTTGAGCTATTAGTATCTAAGGGGGATGCTCCGGCGTCCGTCGTCCGTCGTCATGCGTCAACAATCGTCTTCTTATCTGAAACTACTGAGCAGATTTACATCAAATTTGGTCTGTAGCATCCTTGTGACAGTCACACTTGAATTTGCTAATGTCATTCCAATTGGCCCCTTTTAGGGGTCAGCAGAGCTAAAAATAGAAAAACCTTTAAACATCTTCTTCTACAGAACTAATGGATGGATGATCACAAAACTTTGTCTGTAGCATCCTTTGGTAGTCTTTTAATCAAGTTTGCTCATATTAATTTGATTGGTCCCTTTTAGGGGTCTCTAGGGCTAAAAATAGAAAAACCTTTAAACATCTTCTACAGAACTAATTGATGGATGATCACCAAACTTTGTCTGTAGCATTCTTGGGTAGTGTTTTATCAAGTTTGCTCATATAAATTTGATTGGCCCCTTTTAGGGGTCAGCTGAGCTAAAAATATAAAACCCTTTAAATGTCTATTTCTACAGAAGTACTTGATGGATGATCAGCAAACTTTTTTTTGTCTATAGCATTCTGAGGTAGACTTTTATCAAGAAAGCTAATATTATTTTGATTGGCCCCTTTTAGGGGTCTCTAGGACTAAAAATAGAAAAACCTTTAAACATTTTCTCCTACAGAACTAATTGATGGATGATCACCTAACTATGTTGTGTGCATTCTTGGGTAAGTGTTTTTAATCAAGTTTGCTCATATTAATTTTTGATTTGGCCCTTACAAGGGGCCGCTAAAGCTAAAAATTGGGAAAAAAAACTTTAAAAACATCTTTTATTTTCCAGAACCAATTGAATGAAAATGATCTTAGCACATTCTTCGCTTTCTCTTTTATCAAGTTTTGACTTAATATCCCTTTGGGATAAGCCCCCTTTAAAGCTAAAGCTTAAAAAATACCCCAGGTTTCATGGCAAATTTCTTCAAAATTAAATTGCTTATAACAATATTCTATGCCTCAAATTTAATAATCAGAATATATTGACATTCCAACACTGATAAGCAGTTGTTTCTGGTGAGCGACTCAGGGCCATCATGGCCCTCTTGTTTTATTTTGCAATTATTTTTTTAATTTGTTTATAAACATCATTTTTATGTGATTTGTACAAATATTTTGCTCGAGACTATTGCTAAATACAGAGCAAATATCTGTTACTAACTCGTTAACAATTTCGTGAGAACAATTGTTAGTCTCCTTTATCATGATTAATTCATCATACATTCTCATTTTACATTAAATCTGTAGGCTAAGTTATCAACAAACGTTTGAATTTACTATTTTATCCCCACAATTTTTGCATTATGTTTTACCCCCCCCGCGGGCCCCCCCAAAGAAGCGTCAGCTATTTGTTCTTTCCAATTTAAGTACTTATACATATTTTTGTACTTTAAAACCATACAAATTTGTTGCCGCAATAATTGTTAACAGAAGTTGTTTCATTGTTTCTTTGATTTATACAAATTTGATACTAATTAAGATAATTTGTTTCTTGTTCTAGTTCATTCTAGGGAAAATTTAATTTTAATCATTTTTTTCCGAAATATGCCCAGTATCTGGGGGGGTTTTGTTTTTCTTGCTTTTGGGTTTTTATTTTTAGCATTCAAAATCGCCCGGGGAATACAGTTTGTGTTAATTTTATTCCCTTGAAAAAGTACCCAAATTCTGTGTAAATTTTTCTAAGAAGGGGTGGGTCAGAATGCAAAAATCAAAATTTTCAGGTGGCACAAAAAACCACCCCAATACAAAATATCACCGTTTTTGGTAAAATTTATTTGAAAAAAACAACCATTGTACAATTTTGTAAATTTAGTTTCTTTTAAAAAAAAATTTTAAGTTTTTATGCAACACCACATTTTATTTTCGTTTTTCGTTGTTTTTACGGGGCTATACCCGGTTTGGACCCCCTGTAAAAACCCAGTGATAATTTTACGCCCTTGAATATTTTTTTAGCTCATTCGACATTTTTTAAATAACACTATATCTTCACTTAAACACAGGGAAAGTTTCTTTATTGTGAAAGGTTATATGGTCCTTAATAAACGGTTGTTTAGACATATAACCAGTTTTTGACTATTTTTTATGACCGTTAATATTTTAAATTTAAAAAAAGGGAAATTCAAAAAGGTTCCCTAATTTATTTTCGAGTACACGTAGGGCTAAAAAAATTAAAAAAACCCATTAATGTCGGAACCCAGGGATTTTTTTGAAGTAAATTTGATTTTAATTTTAAAAATGATAAAAAATTTTAAAAAATTTGAAAAACATGTTACGAAAAATGTATTTTAAAATTTTGCAGAAAAAACAGTTTCCCTTTCCTGCTATACCACTTTTTTTTTTCGTGCTATAAGTTATGAAAAAAATCGAAAAAACTAAAGAGCCCCAACAATTTCTTTTCTAAAATTGGGTTAGAATATTATGTACGGCAAATTCTATAATTTGTCTTAAACAATTTCAAACCATGTTTGGGTTATGCATTGTGAACTAAACTTGATCTAAACTTGTTATATTGGGTGACCTCACCTGTGATTTTGATATTGTTTAATAAATACAGTGCTGCCGGTTGTTGCTGCTTTTTCTGAAAATTATCATGATAATTATGACTATTCAATGATGATGACGATGATGATAATGATGGTGTTTTATGTTTTCAGTTCAACAATTCTATATCGATGTACAGAGTGTGCAAATAAATATGAAACATTTAAAGAGTCTATTCGGCATATTATTATCGGTATCTTCTAAGTCGACTAATAGCTTGTATAAGGCGGCTAAACTGTTTTATAGAAGACAGTGCTAATGTCGTTTTGTAGAAAATGACACTCGTGCATAATCTTTAAAATGATCAATTATCGACTTTCTGTCTTATGTGTAGGTTAGTTATACATGTATATAACGAGTTGGTCAGAAGGCTCCTCAACATGTCTTATAAATACCGACAGACACTATTCAGCTGATGGTATGACAATAAAAATTAAAGGCAGCTATACTGTTAGGCTCAAAAACACTAAAAAACAGTTAAATTATTTACCAAATACCTTTGTATCGTCCTCTAATCTATCCATGTTAAGTATGAAATGAGATTATTTCCAATTAAAAATAATATGAAAGACTATACTTAAAAAAATATTTGACTGCTAGACACAGTACACATCTACTAAACTGTTTTCTTTGCTAGACTCTGTACACAAGGCAAGGTCGTTTTTTGCAAATTTTGTTAAAAGCAGCTCAAGGTGAATGGTGTAAACTCAAATTTAAGAAGAGGGTTGACTGTAGTTTGTGTTAAACGGCGAATTCTGATTCAGCAAATGCGTTTTGGGCGTGATTTAGTGGTAAATATCAACATCGTTCGCAAATGTCAACAAATACGCTACATTTTATCGCCAAGTTAACACAAAATCAAAAGCAAATATTGCTCTAAAACCAGAAAGATTTAGCTTCACAAAATTGTTTAGTTTGGAAAAAATGATGAAATTATGCTGAAGAAATTAGTTAAAACATAACCTTGGGTGTACTCGGTATGAAGCTTTCTACTTTCGATTTTGGTGTTTTTAGGAGCTATATCCGGTGGACGCTGTACAACAGTGAAGAATAGCCTAAGTCGTCATCTTTATCCAACCTATCTTTATATAACATATCAGTCAGCAAATTTATGAAAACCAGCCAATAAAAGTTGCATCATCATATGTGGTGTTACATCGATCCTCGAGGCATCATTCCTCCGTGAAAATGATCTTTGACTTTGAACCTACAGATCGTTTGTCTTTAACCGTTGATTCAGAAGTCATGTTGGGTTAGTAGTCCTTCCCTTGTGGGGAAATTAGTAATTTATGATTATTTATCCAGGAAAATTGGTCTGCTGTGTCGACCGCGGAGATAATTATAACCAAAAGATATGTTAAAATCGGCATAACCACAGAAAACCAAACAAACATTACATCATCATCATCATCATCATCATCATCATCAAAACGGACACAGTTAAACAACAAATATGTCATACATAATACTTTTATTACAGTATAAAGACCCAGAAAAGACCAAACGGGATGCTCTTAGAATTACTGAATTCTTTTCAGATATCAGGGTGTTATTTGGAGAACAAAGTGAGTGACATGACGTGCCAGGATTATATAAGTTAAATTAAATAATATTTTTCATCGTGTGTAAGATATAAGTAACAAAGTCAAACTCTTTCATTTTGTGCCGGATGAAAGTTATGTCTACATAACATAAAGAAAAAAAATCAAGTTTTACTTTCTTAACTGTTTGTAAACTCTCTGCACAGGGAAATATGACGATGTAATGGAATGAAAATCAAATGTAGAATCGCAGACCCGGCTTTTAAGTAATCAGACTAAATGAAAATGTCTCCTTTTGCTCCTGCAATGTTTTTTCCCAACCATTGACGTGGACTGTTGAACTTACTACTGGTTATTTTTCCTGATATTTCAGATTTTCCAGACGGGACAAAAAAGCAAAAACTATCCTTAAGTGGAACAGTGCCCGTCGAATTTCAGGGTAATACATCCATTATTAACATGTTCGAGTATTCAGTCTTCGGGAACATTGATTTCGCGCGCGCGCGTGTGTGTGTGTGTCTGTGTGTGTGCGTGTCTGCGTGTGTGTGTGCGAGTGTGTGAGTGTGTTTATTTTCCCGTCATTGGCATTATAGGGGTCGAGGAACATCCTCCTATCAGTCTTACACTGATACAAGTATAAACGAATATTTAATTGTGACAACATAACATTTAATAAAATAGAGTTATTTCGCATGTTTTTCAAATAATTCATAAGCTTAAACTGTATTAATACAAAATATTAATAAATATAATATTAATACATAGTTTATTAAGCAAGGATCAATAAAAAAGACATTGTTACAAATGAAAAACAGTATACATGTATAACAGCAAAATTAATTTGATTGGATAGTATGAATTAAAAGGAATAATTAGAAACATATAGATAATGTGATCAATATTAGATTTTAGCAAAGGTACCGAAAACGAGAGTGATGAGGTTGAAAAACAAATTTACCTTTTATAACTTAATGCTGGAATTTCAATTGAGTTGCGTCCCTTATATTTAAGATAATATTTATACAAATAATGTCTGTCACAGTATCGTCTTTATTTCTACATTTGTATTCAAATTGGTATTTTATATCAATAATTCTAACACTATAGAATATTTCTCTCATATAAACAAAGAAGGCCGGAAGCAACAATGCACACGCCGTTCTTATTTCCTCCCTCTGTATTTGCAAACTGACAAATTGACGGATTCTTTTTGTTTGAAATATCCGTTAAATATAAAACAACTTTTGTTGAATTTGTTCTGCAAACTATCTAGAATGTTGTATCATAGTTTGGGAACCTTTCTATTAAAAATGTGTCAGGGTTAAATCGTATACATATACATACACAGTGCGTTAATTGGAGTGCAGGTATTAGTTACCCGCACCCCAGACCATGCCCATTGATTGGCTCTTTTATGCTGGAACTTATTTATTGTGACGGCAGAGAAAGGGGAAGCGATGGAAATATCATATTCAGATGCTCGTTCATTGGTTACTTTTTCTGGGGTTTTTCATTGTGACAACAGGAAACGTGTTACTATGCTTGACTATGATACAAAAGAGAAAGAACTTTAAAACACTCGGCAATATGATTAAGACTCTGGGGCTACGCCCCCTCGTACAAATTTGACAGCCTCGTGTTTCGATGCTATTTCTTTACATAGAAAATGGTTTAACTGAGAAAGTAATTCCGAACACCATTATCTTTTATTCAGTCATTTATAATGTACAGACGTTTAAAGTGTTGTTTAGATGACGTCACAATGTAGCGCCAAGCAGCGCGTGCAAACACCGTCCAAACAAGAACCAGTTGAATTTCACAATTATTTCACTATAGATACTCTGTTTTTGCTTGCAAAATATACAGTGTAATAAAATATACACACAAAACGTTTTGAACTCAAACCATGCATTATTCTACAACAATGCACTTAAAATTGATATTTATTCTCTAAACAATTTCCTTAACAAACTAGGTATTGGTTGACGGGTATAATTGTCTTTACAATTGTAACGATATTTCCAACTGCCCACATGGTAATTGTTTGTTCAAAAGACTCAAACAGTATTAGAATAATCAGTGTCTAAGATTTTAGCGGACTAAAATTTATGAGTGACACATGTCCGAACAGTGCATGCACACTCACATTCCTAGTTAAGATGTTACAAAATTTCTCTGTGAGACACTGAAGAACATTAACCATAAGATAAATTCATAAAAGACAGTTTTGGTTCTGTAAAATAAACATGGTGTAAAATTGTCCACTGAAAATGTAATGCTTTGCATGAAGAAAAAGAATTATAAACTTGGAACTATATTTTATTTAAGAAATATAATCCCAAACTGTGATTTTATCGCTCAATAAAATCACTGTTTGGAGTTGGGATGCTAGGAATTATATCACGAGGGCGTACTCGGGTTACGCCCTCGTGATATAATGATGCGCATCCGAACGGCAAGCAGTGATTTAATCAAGCGATAAAATCACCGATTTGGATATATTATTTCGATTCTAACATGGCACAAACAAATAAATGCTGCCATATCTGATATTTAGCTAAATTGCGCCTGATTTGCTTTCGTACTAATTTCAGCGCGTCGCATTTTTGTGGTTACGTCACACACGCACGCACGCACGCACGCACACACACACACACACAACAACAACAACAACAATAGTATTATAACATTCAGAATAGCCTAAATATATGAAAAATATTGCAAAAGTTAAGACCTCTCTGTCAAGGAGAATAGTGTTTTTTGAAACTAACAGCCCCTTAAACTGCTCGGATTAATTTCAAAATTAATAATTATGTTTTCAGAACAAGAATTTTCACTTTAAAGCATGAGTGTGTTTAAATAATACAATGTTGTTAGTATCTCTACAGGTATCCAAAGAACTGTTGTAGTCCTAAGAGCCTAAAGGATATTTCACTTCAATAATCTACGTGGAATTCATGAATAAATAACATTAAAGATACATTTTTGTAATACAATCTTTCGAGAAAACATTAAAAAATATCGTTTCTGTACATAGAAATCGTTTTGGCAGTAATTAAATATAAGACACTTTAGTAGTACCTTTACTGTCTCTAGAATAATATTAATACATTTATTTCCAAAGGGTATATTATTCTTTCTGTGAAACCAGTTTTTTATGTTCCTAGATTCTATGGACACTATCCCTTTGTTTATATCTTTGATGGAACAACACCCTGGCGAGGCACCTAATGTTTCTGTAAAACCAGCTTCTAATATGGTGGTAAATGAAAAGTGTGCTTATGTTGATCAGACGGGGCTAGTAAAAACTCCTTACCTTACAGGATGGAAACATGTAAGAAACAATTTGACCACTTTCTTTCTTGTAAATACAGATATCTGTTTCTAATTCTCGACAAAAATATATTTTGTTTCTATTTAATTTAAATTAAGTACAATGTCCAAAGATTTTGATGACGTATTGAAAGTACATTCACTATACACGATTTGAACTGGTGAAATATAACTTTAACAGTAATGTTGTGAATCTAGAGATCAGATGATTGTTACATTATATTTAATTTTGTACATAAATTTCAGCCAAACTCTGACCTTGTGGGATTATTACAAGACTTAATTGTAAAGTTTGGGAAAATGCCACCGCTGTTAAAAAAAACATCGGCCACCGTAAATATCTTACAAGGTAACAATACTTATTTCGCATTAATTCGTATTGAGAAATGTCATAAGTATGATAGTTATAGTCTGTCGTTCTTGTATTCTTGAATAAACGATATGTTCTGTTCTGTTCACGAATGACAAGTTATTACACAAAAAATAGTTCCAATTAAGAATAAGGTCTGTCAGAATAATTCTAGCTTTAATTTTAATCTACATAGGAAGGTTATTAAACTTAACAAGCTGAAATTTGTGTTTGAAGCACATTTAGTACCTGTAACGCAACATCATTACATTACAATATGCGCTAATGGGTGTCAAAATAAATAGAAACAAAAAGATTTGTCAAAATAAATATCAAAATGTCAAAGTTATCGTTACAAGAATAATGCTAGAAGGGCATTTTTGTAAGGTGAAAAAAATGACTAAATAAAGCAACTTCATAGTTCCAAGTGTCGGGGATGTCACCTTGCTTTATTTAATTTTGGTCTCCATTTTTAGACATGGTTCGTATATGGAATATAATTTAAAAAAATATCACACAGCTATGTCACGTAAAGCAATTTATCTGGTGTATTTTTTCAAAGGTACATGCTGTCCAGGATCGAGTAATAGCTATCCTAACAACGGTAGCGTTCCGGGAAGACCACCACACGAAGGAAACAGCTACAACACAGCGACTGATGACGCTAGGAAGTAGTTGGACGCCGTAAATAGTGATAAAGTACTCAAAGAGCCTGTCAAAGATGACGATTTGTGTATAATCTGTACTTTATTACGTCTGGGAGAGATTTCGTGTAGAATGGAAGAGAAAGTTTTGTAAATTAATAGACACAACAGAAAAATGATTTTACAAAACAAAAATTAATATTTAGAAATGATGAAATTAAAGAGCCTCCAGATGACGGGACTATAAATAATTTTATTAGATTAATATTCCATTTGATGTAGCCTGATTAGAATTTTTACTTATTCTGACTCTGTGTAGTGTTTATCAACTACGACAGCGATTCTGATTTACATATAACGTCACATGAGTGCTTATTCCGGAAATAAAATTCTGAATGTAAACACAGTGCCCGTTCTTTACTTGTATTGTTTGACAAATTTGATCGTATCTCGGCGCTATGTCCACAGTATCGGATTTCCCGGATAACCGATTCCATCGCATTTGACCCACTACTAATCTACATGAGTTTGTTACACAACTTTCAGAAGTTTTATTGGAACTTCAGACAGCTCGTTGGTATAATGAGTTGCATCGAGTCACCGGTTTGAGTGGAAATGGTCGAAATAAGCATAGGACAGATAAAATTTTCAAAGATTCCTACGCTAATGAACATTATTGTAACATTAATTTACCATTGCTTCATAGTCTTCTCAGAGTTTAGGTGCGGTGTTGCACCAATAAAGTTACAGACAGGTCGATATGAAAATCTTACAGAAATTCAAAGAATATGTCAGTTGTATTATAATTGTACTGAATCAGAGCTCCATGTTTTGCTAAAATGCCCAATGTATGTAAGGGAGAGACAAATACAGTTTTATAAAGTCTGAATATTAGTATAATTTCAATGTGTTAAATGATTCAGAAAAATCCTAATATGATTAGAACAACTGCAGAAACTATTTATAATATGTTGATCACTTGAAACAATGCTCATACAGTATGTCTTTAGCCATTAAGTAATGTTTTAAATTATGTCTATACAATTTATGCTGAAATGTATCATTGTCACAATTTTTGTATGCTCTGTAAAGTGTAAGTTTTTACCTATTACTTAATGTTTTAATTCTTTTAGTATGCATAATGTATGCTGAATTCGTATCCATCGCTACTTCGTGTTAGAAATTGCTTGCTTAACCGTTTGCAACAAGATTCCTGTGGTGATTTTCTTCTTACACAAATTCAACAATTAATATCATTTCAACCTGGTAATGTTATAAAGTGGCTGCATGATTAGCAAGGAATATCTAAACCTTTATATTAAAGAGTTGGTGTACAAATATGTAAAATTTTGTAGTCTCTCACAATTCTATTTCCAAAGTACGATATTAATAAAATGTAAGTATTGATTTCATGAATTGTACAATGATACCATTTAAATAAAAGATTAAACTACTATTACACAATTGGTATTGTACACTTCCTTTGAATGAGTGGATTGGCAACGCGATAAGTGTCAAACAGATTTACACATAACCGGTTGTTTTTTCCCAGCTTGTTTACAATATCATTCATTTACATGTGTTTAGAGGAACCGAACAAAATATGTTGGCATCAAAGTCATATCCGATAAAGAATAAAATCACATGTTCTGATCATTTTCAGAATGACAATTAACCTCGGTTATACAATACTTTTATATGAACTATTTCAAGACCTCTTTATTTACCAATAGATAATAATATTTCAAAATGTTTTACTTTTTAAACCAACAGTGTTGTAAAATTTGAAACAATCCAATTTAAAATAAATATTCAGAACTTAATAAGATAACATTCTCGTAAATACACATATACTTCAAATTTGATAATACAATTGTCCTAGTTGAATATAACATGTTTTCTTAATTCCCATTGTTAATATCTACTTAAATTTTGCATTTTGATCACTTTAAATATTTCCCTGTCGTAGTTCCATAATCACCTTGTCCCTGCAGTTGGTCCTTGAAGTTACTAAAGATGCGTCTACTGCTACTATTTCAGCTGTAAATTTCATTTGATTTGAAAGGCAAAAGCGTTGCTTAGGATTAACTGGCCTGATATCACCCAGATTTACAAACCTTCTTCTTTGAAAACAGTTGCCCCCAGACTTTATTAAGTCTCTCCTGACGAATATTGCCCCGCAGGAATCCGTCATGCTGACAAGAGGCTTATGTTATAAATTGATTAGATAAAAAATGGACGAGCCCCAAAATGTAACAGTTTTACCTAGTTCAAAACCTCTAAAAAAAATAATGCCTTTCTTATACCAACTAAATACCAACTTCATTACATAAACACGAGGTGAAATGATGCGATACGAAATAATGACTGGTTTTAGACTGTTACACACGTCAGAGTGTGTATATTTGATAGCAACGAGGATGTGGGACTCTGACCTACACGTATTGCCTTTCATATATAGACGTTTAGGTGCACAGTAAAAAAAAGTCATTGAAGGTAAATGAGCAGTCGGTGACAAAGAACATGAAACGTGTTTTTATGTTTGACTATGATACAAAAGAGAACGAACATCAAAACGCTCGAATACTCGGGGCCAACAATTTTGAAAGGGGGATTTTGGCTTATGAAGCATGCATAGCACAGACAAGACAAAAAGCAGGCAACATATCCTATGAGTGATTATACAGTGTTCAAGTGGGAGTGCTGGAACCGCCCAAGTTGAAAAAGGCCAAATAAAAGAAACTTAAAATTCCACATTACATGTATGTTACACAGCAATAATGCCGTTCCGTTCGATCTTCAAGGATCGAAAATAAATATTACATCTTTGATTAAATGTACAGGGAGATTTTTTACAGCCAATCTTTATCATGTCATGTAAATGGTTTTCTCTCTTAAAGTTTAACTGACAAGTAGAATTTCTTGTTGAAAATTTTCTTCCCTGCTTAATATCATACTACCTTTTCCACATACATGTGGACTTACAACATTACTCAGGCAAGATCTTCCACAACCAGGGAAAACATACAGTACGCCAAAATGCACTGTCATGTGTGTCTAACGGATCATTTCTTAAATTGGACATGTCACACACATTCCATAAACTTCAGATTATGAAACTGTATTAAGAGCTTAGCTTGTTTTCCCACACACACTCACACAAGAACTATTTTACTGAAAAGAAAACACATGTCGATATAGATAGTCTTCTACATTTCACTGTATCAGTACATGGAATTAGAACTATCCTTCCTTTTAAATCCATAATTTAAGTATGATATAGTTAACTGTTCACTAAAGGAAACTGCTTTTCATCATTCGAGAAACTCATTGCCAATGCTAACAGAAAAGATATTGATCAGTCGGTCACGAAAACGCATCGTAATGAACCATTTTTTTTGCTGACAGTTAGTTTATCGGACCAGTTAACATGCGTACAGTAAGAAATACGGAAATAATGTCGATATATACAGAACAGATAGGTTTTTTAAAAACTTTTTGTGTGTATTTTGTTTTGCTATTTATAGTAAATATGTTGTTTCTATAACTAATCAAATGTCTATTCCTTAACTTCTTTTATTGTATTCTTATTATAAGTATACCAGATTGCCTGTTACATTTGAAGTAGCAAATATCTCAATAACTTTCTCCTTACAATAAAAATAGAGTCTTTTATTTTGACCATCATATACAAATATATCTCCCGCTCCGCATGCACTATATTATTCCAACAAAAATTACACCATACAACAAATATTTGAAGCAAACTGGTTCTTACCCATATTATGTGTTACTTTCCTCCGCTATTATTCCGTATGGTACGATTTCACCTCGCTTAAAAAAGTATCGCACGCTATACGTTCGACCCCCTGACTTAATATATATACTAGGACGAAAAAGAAACGCCGGGTACATAAAATATGGAACACATATTTTATTGCTTGGCCTAAAATAATGAAAATCGGTCAGATTTATATAATGCCCCATGTCACCAGAGTTTGCCAGCAATTTCTTGCCAACAGTAACATACACCCACTCGATTGGCCAGCATTCAGTCCAGATTTGTCCCCAATTGAACATTTGTGGGACGAACTGGATAGGAGGGTAAGGAGACGTCCAAATGCCCCAACTAATCATGTCCAGCTCACACATGCCTTGCATGAAGAATGGAATAACATCCCCATGGCCATGATTAACACCCTGGTGAATTCCATGCATAGACGGATCAGGGCTGCCACAGCTGCGCATGGAGGACACATAAGATACTGGTATGTCCGGCCGTGTTTCGCAAAACAAGAAGGGTCATCGTTAAAAGGGGATATTTTTTCACATAATCAGCATCGGAAATCGATTGAAACTTCAACAGCTGGTTCCATACAGATGACATTTCATACAAAAATGAATATAATAATCCAATAATACAATTTATCCCTTAAAACAATCATTATAGGTTACCCGGCGTTTCTTTTTCGTCCTAGTATATATTTGTAATAAATAGGATAAAAAACATGATTTCAAGCCTAACATTAAAACATTAATCTTAAAATTACCAATACTTAAAGATGACCAAATTTACACATTAAAGTCAATATGAAATGCTTTACTGTAAACAGAAGAAATTAAGAGAGAATAACTTTAAAGAATAAAAGATAAATAACGTACTTTTAGAAAAAATCAAAATATGCCATATAGGCAATAAAGCTTTAAAGGCATCTTTTGAGTTTTGTTAAAAAGCTATTTTGTATAATTTTCTCCTTACCCCAAATGAAGTGGGAATTGTCTATGAATTTCTAATACATTTCTATGTAGGGCGATGCATTTTTGTTCGCTATGCAGTTTGCGCTTGCGCGAGAAAATACTGCTTCCCGTCAATTTTTATAGCAACGGACCACGTCTTTAAAATGTCTATAGATGATCTATAAATCCTAGTATATATGTAGCAAGATATGGTTCAGTTCTAATGCTTGTATAAGAAGGTTTGAATGGTCTTTCAATATGCTTTAATGCAGAAATGTTCACGTTAATTACTTAAATTCACAATTGCATTGGCTATTTCTCAGAATAAACTATTCTTAACGAATGGTTAAAAAAAATTGAGATTACATCAAATTGTTTATAAACTTGCTGAATACTGATATAATGTTTTTTTTCTTCATTAGTGTCTTTTTTTGCGCTACATAAAATGCGCATGCACGAAATGCTACTTCCGTTTCTATGGAAGTATCGGATTGTAAAAAGGTATATCCCTAAAAGGCAACAATGAAAATATTCAGGCCCGGTTTGTTTAAGCCTGTTCATGGTCAGAAGTGGTAGTTCAAAGCAGAATTCAACATAAACATGAAAATGGTGAAATTTTGAATTAAAAGACATCATGAAAAGCGACGCATGATTGTGAATAATACATGAGCCTTTAAAGAGAAGACAATGGGTGGGCCTTAATCAAATATAATTTTGAAAGGGGGTCAGTAGTTATGAAGCCTGCACATCACAGATAAGACATGAAATGACAAATACAAAAAAGCAGACAACATACATACAGTATTCAAGTATAAATCATGTAAATAGATGCATTTAATGGAACTTAAAATACAACAAACACAACAATAATGCCATAATGAAATGAAAGATATTGGAGAATCGATAATATATCATATTTGACTGAATGCACGGGATGGCATTTTACGGTCTCCACACAGTAAAAACAATACTGGTATGCAATAAAATGAAGAAAATCGCAACGCCTACAGAATACTTAAAACAATCGCATAATTTTAGAGTTTCATGTTTAAAATACCGTTGAATTCAATAATGTTTTATATCATTTTTCCAACGAGATATCAACAACATCATATGATATCATTAGTACAAATATGCTCTTTATACTGAGTAAGTTGTTTTCATTTTCTAACTATTTTTGAAAGATTTGTTTAGCATGATATAAAATGTGCAACGTAATTCGTTTGTGTATGATAATTATATAAGTTTGCCCAACTCGTTGCCTTTCTGACATATATCGGGGACTGCTCTCAGTGAACGTCTCCCTTCTTTTCCTCGTCTTACTCGTATATCGCCATATCATTTCGGGAAATGGATATAAAGTTAATCAAATATTAAATCAGTTTCTGATAGAGCCTCTTTTTTGCCAGTGAATCAATGTACTGCCGCAAGATTCCAAATTTTATGCAGACGAAGGTATCAAAATTAATAAATCCATGATAAACTGGTATATTTCTTTACTTACCTACCTACCTACCTACCTACCTACCTGCCTGTCTGTCTGCCTGCCTGCCTGCCTGCCTGCCTGCCTGTCTGCCTACCTACCTATATGGAATGTATATGAATCTATGTTGCAAACAGCTGAAAATGGGCAGCAAAACTGGGACTGCAGAGTGAACAAACTACTTGATGAATGTGGCTTTAGAGAAGTATGGCTATATTCGCGTTCAGTAGATATTAACGCGTTTATACCGATATTCAAACGAAGATGCTACGATATATATAGTACTGAACACGAAGTAGCCCAAGTATCATTTTATTTAACAGTATTAAACAAAATTTTGGAACGGCAGAATATTTAACATTGATGGACAATAAGAAATATAGAAATGTTATTACGAAAATAAGGTTGTCCTCTCATTGTCTTGAAATTGAACAAGGTAGGCATAGAAACATTCCTAGGAACGTATGTTTATGCAAATTATGTTTTCAACGAACAATAGAAGATGAGTTCCACTTCATATTAGAATGCCCGTTGTATACAGTATATACCACATTGGTACTGAGCAAGGCCAAATATGATTAAATTCATTGATTTTTTATCATCCAGTGAATTGCACATTTTATATAGACTGGAAAAAAATATTCAATCAAAGCGCTGGAAGAAAGAAAGACTCTCTTATTATAAGTACAAATTAGTTAATTTAAACACTAAATTCAAATATTGTGTCATATCAAACAACAATTACCATATCTAAATGTTACATAACTATGATTATATATGAAAAGTTAGAAATGTCAATGCTGAATCACTCAAATCTGCCACATATATGTAGGCTATGTATCTATATATGTAGGCTATGTATCTATCTTCGATGCATCGATTCATTTCTCATTTCTTATATATGCTCTCATTACATACTTTTAAGCATGCATGTAAAATATTATTGTTTAATCAATATGCTGTTCGCCTAATACGATTTATCAATAAACTTATGTTATATTATATTATGTTATGTCGATATGACGTAAGTATTAATTAAATTAACGTTTATACGACGTAAATTTCTGTACCATAATTATAATGTTTGAAAAAGCGTTAATATGATAAACCGTATAATATAAGACTTGAATGATCTCTAACATCGCCAAAAGCTATGCTATTTTTTTTTGCAATTCACAGATATTTTAGCAAAAATTTGTTACAAAATGTGAATGATGAGAGCTATTGATTTTTATTAGTTTTTATTATTAGTTATACATTATTGATGAGTTATTTAAACGGCTACATGCATGTATATCCCGAGCCTCTAGGTACATATCTTTATAACGAATTTACAATACAGCAAATTATTCCCAACTTGCAGTATCACAAAATAAAATATTCCCGGTCAGGTAGAGATAGGTCTTGACTTACATATGTTTTTACAAATCTAGATACATATTCATTATGCAAGTCATAAACAAATGTAACGTTACAATAATACTACTCGGATTGTGAGACATTAAATTACATCTTAGGCTATTACTTGTTAGCCATGTATGCTGAAATAGGTAAATCATAACATTTTAAATTTAGAATTTTACGAGTTTGTATGCTGAAATAGGTAAAGTCATAACATTTAAATTTTGAATTTTACTAGTTTGTATGCTGAAATAGGTAAAGTCATAACATTTTAAATTTAGAATTTTACGAGTTTGTCTCTCTTTTTTTTCACAAACTCAATTAATTAATAAGATATGAAACCATTAGTATTAACGTAGGCACTGCATTATATCAGATAAATTTTAATATCATCAAGTAGAATATGTTTAAAGCCACTTTTCATCATTTTCCCATAAATAACATACAATTATATACTGTGCTCATTAACCGTGCATTAAATTTTAAATGCATAAAAAATTATGTAACGCACGAGTAACGACAAATGTTAAACTATTGACATAAATGTGTAGCTAGCTTTTATTGCATAAAGCATCTCATATTTTGGACACTATTTATTGAAAGGAAATATGACCAGAGTAACAGATGCCACATCTGCTGAGGTAGACGATGATCAAGATGATGCGGATGGAGACCAGGAAAAAACGGTTCTATACTCAGTGAACGAAACTCCACCCTGGCATCTTTGCATATTACTAGGATTTCAGGTATGATTTATTTATCCAATGAACATTTCAGTTTTTTTGCCAAATACCTCAGCATAATTTAAAATATTCGATTATTTGTTCTCGCATGTCATTTATTCCAATTTCATTTTGATTGTTATTTTCAAAATAAATAAATATCGTGTTAAAGTTAACAGTTATTCGACATACTTTCTTTGACTTTTTGTTTGATGTTGAGATTATTCAACATGACTTTAGGTTGGAACTTTGATGTCGTATATTTGAATTTACTTACATCATTTTTGAAATATTTGTAATTAAACGGGCATTGATGTATAAGGTTAACCCTCTTTTGCATGCATTCTTCTGTGCTTAAAATAATGATTTAATACTCTCGACGATCATTGTTATTACATCTCTAATGTTTGAAAATATCTGGAAATGTGAGATTTACCCGAGAACAATGAAAAGAAAAACAAACATCTGAAAATTTCTATTTCGGTATGTCTGTTACCGATACATGAGAGAATATGGCAAGTACGCCATCTCACAAGCCTCCCGTCCACCGCCCCACACCCCAACCACCAACCCATGTGCGGGCTTAAGCAGTACTCAATCTTCAACACTTTGAAAATTGAATAAATGAACCAAAAGTAAAACAAAAACCTATATATAAACACTAAGATTAAATATCGGGCACTATCTTGTACTTGGAACCTAACTTCTTTTTTTTGTAAACAATCTGAAAAGGGAATACATGTAGCGTAACTAGTATCAAGATGTCGGTGTGTTTTGAATTATCACGTTTAAATTAAGTTAGAATATCTTATGTCTTTCCCGAACAAAATATGAAATACTTAACTAAGACAGTATTATCTATAAAGAAAACATAATTATATCATTATTATTCCAAAAGGTCAATGACAGAACTGTAGAAACATATAAACAAACACTATTGCACCTTATATTTCAAATATTTCATATTATGTATAATTTTTCAATTTACTCTATATATTAGAAATACCAATGACAAATATTCAACTTATATTTATTAGTGTTATTTGATTGCATTTATTTATCAATCTAAACTTTACTTTTTACTTTTTACAGGATTAATACATTTTTTGTATATTTAAGGATAATACAAAAACAAAAATGGAGTTCTTAAATTTCCCCAACATTGCAAAATTGAAAATAGTCATGGGTCAGTTTTATTGAGCTTGATCATAAACTGGAATAATATGTAAAAGCTACCGTACACCCCCTAGCACTGCCTCAAGCAGCATTTAACATTAAATTACAGAATCTTGAAATAATGAATTTAGAAAAACAGGAACCGCAAATATGTTCGTATAAAGAATGATACGTTCTATTTACAAATCGTGCTTTATTTTCAAAGATAGACATTTTGCATTTGATAAAACATGTTATTGTTAATCTTATTTTCAGCATTATCTGACAGCTATTGGCGGAATCATCTCAATCCCACTTGTACTAGCACAATATTTTTGCATGGACAAAGACACTCTTGGTATAAGCGAAGTTATTGGTACAATCATCTTTGTCTCGGGACTTTCTACAATTCTTCAAACAACGTTCGGTATACGGTTACCAATTGTGCAAGGGAGTACCCCAACATTTCTGATTCCAACCATAGCAATAATGTCTCAGCCAGTATGGGAATGTGAGTACAAGATAGCGCGGGAAATGAACGGTAGCCATGTTAACTTTACCGCGTATGGTTTACCAGAGCCAGGAAGTGAAGGTCACCAGGAAATCTGGATGAAACGAATCCGAGAGATCCAGGGTGCCATTATGGTGGCGTCCATTTTCCAAGTTGTTATTGGTTTCAGCGGAGTGATGACGTTTGCTTTGCGGTTTATTGGTCCACTTTCCATCGTCCCGATTGTTGCATTGACAGGATTCTCATTATTTCCGGTTGGATCTGACTTGGCTTCGGGGCAATGGTGGATTGCTTTAATGACAACATTTCTTGTGATAGTTTTCAGTCAATATTTGAAAAATATCAAAATACCTATATGTAGAGTTGACAAAAAACATGGTTGTGTAAAAACCGATTTAGCGTTTTTCAACATATTTCCCGTTCTGTTGGCAATGATAATATCTTGTATAGTGTGCACAATTCTGACGGTTACAGATGTCTTACCAGATAATCCAGACGAGTGGGGCTACGCAGCAAGAATTGACATCAATCTATTTGTGATGAAAGAGGCAAAGTGGTTCAGATTTCCTTACCCGGGGCAATGGGGCATTCCTACAGTAAGTGTAGCAGGAGTGTTTGGCATGTTAGCTGGAGTTTTGGCAGCCATGTTGGAATCAGTCGGCGATTACTACGCATGCGCGAGACTTGCTGGAGCACCGCCACCACCATCACATGCAGTAAATAGGGGAATATTTATTGAGGGCATTGCGTGCATTTTGGCTGGTGCATGGGGATCCGGAAATGGTACAACATCATTCAGTGAAAATATTGGTGTTATTGGCATTACAAAAGTGGGTAGTAGGCGTGTTGTTCAGGTTGGCGGTATAATTATGATAGTTCTCGGATGTTTCGGTAAGTTTTCGGCATTGTTTACTTTGATACCAACACCTGTGTTTGGAGGACTGTTCATGGTTACTTTTGGAATGGTTGCCGCCGTGGGTTTATCCAATCTACAATACATTGATCTTAACTCGCCAAGAAATCTCTGCATTCTTGGAGTGTCACTATTTTTCGGAGTGAGTCTTCCTCTGTGGTTACAAGGAAATGACGCAATACATACCGGAAGTGACGTATTCGACCAAATATTGTCAGTCTTGCTTGGCACGAGTATGTTTGTGGGTGGGATGATAGGTTTTGTTTTAGACAATACAATTCCAGGTACAGACAGAGAAAGGGGCATTCGTACGTGGCGTGAAGATACAATAGGACGTTGTAAAACTGACTCGACCGGTAACGAAAGTGTCTACAACCCACCTTTTTTCCAAGACAATATATTCAAAAATAAAGTTCTGAAATATTTACCAATTTGTCCGCCATTTTTGAACATTCGGAATGTTTCAGATATCTCCATCGCTACATCGGTCAATGTTACAGATGTATATGATTACAAAGATAGTCACGAAAATTCAACGAAATTTTAACGAATGTTTGCATATTAAAGCAGCACGCCTCCGCATTTCTGCTAATTTTCATGAAAATTTTGAAAATGTATTAAAAAGTGAAATATGGTAGGTGAACAAAGAAAATTCTTCATGCATTGCAAACGAAACTTATAGCCACAGTAAATTACCAAAAATAGATCAAAATATGCAAAAATAGCCCTTACTGCGTTAGTAACGCAGTAGAAATATGGTGATAAATACTGCAAAAGCAGTTGTACATTGTACATAGCAAGTACATTTTTACAAATATATTGGATTGTTTTACTTGTCTTAAATTTATATTTAATTTCTCTCAAGTTTGATTTTCTTGAAATAGTTTGCTTCATCTGGAGGCATGCAGATTTAATGACGGGATACTATTGCTATGAAGTACTGAAATAAAATAAAACTGTAGAACTTCGTCAGGTGTAATTTTAACTTCATATCATCAGAATGTCAAGTCTCTTATAAAAATATAAAGAGTGGGCCACAATATGGTTGAAATATATAATCATTTATGCAGTCCATGTTTTTAAATGTATATTTTTGTATTTAATGGCTGAATACAAATAAAGGAATTCTAAGTAATTAACTCCTTTTTCACCCCTTTACTCTTTTCCAGAATATATGTTAAGGAAAGCATTCATTCTTTTCGATACCTGGATTACCTTTACTGAGTACAGCGACTATGTATATGTTAGTGTTCATCCGTGCTGTTCTACAGAAATTAGAAACTTCGACGGGAGCGATAGCGACAGGAGAATGTTTCTAATTTCTGTAGAACAGCTAAGGATGAACACTAACATATTTAGTGTCAAGCTTTATTTGGCCCTTGATTACGTCACTACGCGCTACTATGAAGCACTATGAAAAATAGAAGGCGACTATGAACGGATTTCAATATAGTATCGCCTTTCTTTCATCTATGAAAATTAACACACATAATTTTTAAGAAATACAGCGTTATCATTGGATGACAAATAAAGCTGTTAAAACTTTAAAGCGTGATAAATCCTGCGGAAACGATTTTTTGCTGAATGAATATTTTATTGAAACTGTAGATATACTGGCAGCGCATATATGTGATATTTTTAATTGTATTTTTGATAGCGGTTTTTTTCCTGAAAGATGGACTGAAGGGGTTATTGTTCCATTGCACAAGAAAGGAGATAAAACAATGTTAAAAATTATAGAGGCATTACTTTAGTAAGTTGTATGTCGAAATTATTTACGACAATACTAAATATTAGAATTGTTAAATATTGTAATGAGAATAATACCATATCAGATGCGCAGTTTGGATTCAGAAAAGGCTATTCGACAACTGATGCCTTGTTTATTTTGCATAATTTGGTTCAAAAATATTGAAATGAAAATAAAAGATTATATTGTGTTTTTGTTGATTTAAAAATGGCATATGATTGTATATATAGAAATGCATTATGGCTTAAATTGTATAAGCATGGGGTTAACGGTAAAATTTTGAGAATAATTAAGGACATGTATGAAAAAGTAAAATCATGTGTTCGGTCGTGTAATTCGTACTCTGAGTTTTTCAAATATGCTGTTGGTTTAAGACAAGGGGAGGTAATTTCACCAGTATTATTTTCACTATTTGTTGAAGACATTGATATAAATTCAGGTGTAAATATTGATGATATTATTCTTATTCTACTTTTGTTTGCAGATGATATGGTTATTCTTGGGAAGACTCCGGATGAAATTAACACTAATCTTATATTACTTTCTGAGTATTGCAAACTATGGAGTCTTGAAGTCAATGTACAAAAAACCAAAGTTATGGTATTTCGTAAACGTGGGGGACTTAGAAATAATGAGACTTTTGTGTATAATGGGACAATTTTGGAAGTTGTAAATGATTTTAACTATCTAGGAACTGTTTTTAATTATACGGGAAGTTTTGCATTAAATCAACAACAATTGGTCGGTAAAGCTTTGAAATCAATGAATGTTTTATTAGTTAAATGTCAAAAATATAAAATGAAACCTAAAATTCTTTGTCAACTTTTTGATTCTTTTGTCGGATCAGTATTAAATTATTCAAGTGAAATATGGGGGTTTACAAAATCAAAAGAAATCGAAAGAATTCACCTTAAATTTTGTAAGAAAATTCTTTTTGTTAAAATGTCGACTCCTAATGTTGCAGTTTATGGCGAATTGGGACGATATCCTTTGTATATTTCGAGATATATTAGAATATTAAAATTTTGGCTTAAACTTAACAGTACAGATAATATAATTTTGAAAACTGTATATAACATGTCATATAATTATTGTATAAATGGTAAAAAGAATTGGGTCTCAAATGTAAAAAAATTATTGTGTGAAAATGGATATAATTATGTTTTTGATAATCCTCATTTTGTTAAAGAAAAGCCGTTTTTAAGTATTTTTAGGCAGCAGTTAATAGATTGTTTCTTGCAAGGTTGGCATAGTAATAAGTCAGGTAGCACAATGTTAAACCTTTATCACAATCTTAAAGAAAAATTTGAATATGAAAGGTATCTTGATCTATTACCTTTTGATTTAAGAACCTATTTAGTAAAACTAAGAGTGTCAGCTCATTCATTACGGGTAGAAACAAATAGGTATGGAATTAATAGATTACCCAGAAATGAACGAGTATGTCTTTTTTGTGATACAAGAGACATCGATGACGAATTCCACTTTGTATTTAAATGTCCATGTTTTAATGATATACGACGGTTATATATTGATCGATATTATTATATCAGACCAAACATGCATAAACTTATCGAATTGTTAAATTGCAGGGAAAAAGATACTCTTGTTAAACTTTGTAAATTAAGTAAGATTGCTTTTAATCGTAGAAATAAACAAATGAGTCAAAATATATAATCATAATCATCCTCTTAATAACTCATTGGTTAAGTTAACATTTGTATTGTTTTATATAGATTGTGTGACTATAATTGTGTTGTGTAAATATGTTATTTATGTGCACGATGTACATGATGTACAAGTGAAATAAATGTTCTGTTCTGTTCTGTAATCTTCGATAATGTAAAACGAATGCACATAATTATAATTGACATCAAGTCTGTTTCGGTACAATTATTATTGAAAATATGTCTGACAACCACTTGTTATTCAAATATACCAACTGACGTACAATTTTAAACGAATCAGAATAATTGTCAGCAGGTTGGCATTTGTATTTCGGTTTCTACAACTATAATAATAAATATACAAATAATGTATTGTTTGCTTTTGTATCTTTGAATTCACGTATTTTAGGTGGCCATTTACTTGATATATTGGAAATAAACTTGTCAAGAACTCCCAACATTAAATTACTATTGTTTACATGTCTAGTTTCTTAGTGTAGGTTAGACCGAAATACCGTATCCGGTCTGTGTATTCTTACTATTGTGTTCGAGGTCCTTATCCGAAGACTGACGGAAATGGCCGAAAAGTTGCGATAAAATAATCTGCACTTTACAAAATCACCTTTTTGAACTCTAATTAAAAATTTGGCATGTATCAATTATTCAGAGGCATATATATATATATATATATATATATATATATATATATATGAAATAATTGTATGTAATACATGTATAAAGTTGTGAAAAAATAACATATTTATATGCATGTTTATTGATATCTGATATATTTTTAATGAGTGAATCAAGTTTGAAGCCCCGCGTGACCTAGTGAATAAACAGTTTTGTGCAAAGATTCAAACAAGTAATTTTAGCTTCTAAAAAATAAAAGCGATTTAAACTGCTCAAAAGGTGTGACGTAGGAATGACTGTAGAGGTTTAAATACGAAAGACCGGTGGGGACATTTCAACTTCATGAATTCCCGAATGCAGCTTTATGACGTCTCACAAAGTTGAATTCGTGAAGTTGAAATCGTGAATTCATGAAGTTGAAATCGCGAATTCGCTAAGTTGAAATCCTGAATTCATGAAGTTGAAATCGTGAATTTGTGAAGTTGAAGTCGTGAATTCTCGAAGCTGAAATCGTGAATTCATGAATTCCGTATGTTGAAAACGGGAATTCACGAAGTTTAAATTGTGAATTCATGAAGATGAAATCGGGAATTCATGAAGTTGAAATGGCCCTACCGGTCTTTCGTATTTAAACGTTTATTTTCTCATTAGCATCGTTGACATACATTTTGGTTGTTTAAACTATAGGAGACAGTTTATGTGCGAAATAGACTAAAAGGTACGGAGACGTTTAAGGGCCTCCATTAAGTTACCATGAGTAGTAAGACGACAGATTTCTGTTTGATTTGATGTTTTAACGCAAATCTATTCAAATTTTTACAAAGACTAGACCATCTTTTGTCATGCTTAGTCATTTTTTAAAAATGATTGAAGTTTTTTGTTTAGACGAATTTTTGTCAGAAAAATAAATGTTTTACAAAAACGATACATTTTCGCCTAGACAAAAGATCAAATGTTGAAATAAATTATGTGTTTTTTATAATCGTTGTGGATAAAATAAATGGATTTGTTTTAAAACGTCTAATTATATCGAATTAAAATCAGTCGACTTATACATCATGATCTGACTCATCGGAGGCCCTTTAACGTTTCCGTAAAAAGGTAATGATCTGGGACTAAATTATTCGCGATCACTTGATACTTTACAAAGGTTTGCGTTAATGAAATTTAATCTGCCTGGTGCTGTGGTTTAATCTACTTTTGAATATATTTAATACACATCTAGCAACTAAAACACCCGCTGATTTACAATGGGGCATATTTTCCTTTAAGTTTCAAATATTGATGGCATATTGAAGAAATATATCATTTTGAAAATCTTATGAACTATTGATTGATAAAAAATATTGATAAATGATTGAGTATAAATGAACACCAACCTGATCGAAAAATAATATACTCTTAAACGATCTCATCGGACAAAATAACTTCAAACACTAAATTTTCTTTGTATTTTCACTTATATTGATTACCCTGTTACCTATCTTTATTCAAAGTACATACATGTGGTTATTTTTGAAATTGGTTATTAAAGAGACTCCACTGAGGTATTTTTAGATATGGCGTGGCTGTAAATATTTCCCGGAGATTTGGCACCAACTGATTCATGTCTTGTTTAATAACTTACGTGCAAATATTTAGCCCAATTCCTAATTTTTGTTGTCCCAGAATAATCAATTTTATTTAAACGATTGCCCAAAAATGAAAAGCGTTTATCTCTGGAATTCGGCTAATAATGGAATATACAATTGATTTTCAATTTAATTTTCAGTTATTTTCTTCTGTTATCATCTTGCGGAATTTCCAAATTTTAAGTGATTTACTTGATTTTTGTAAGATTTTCAAATTTTATTTTTATGCATTTAAACCTCAGTGGAGTTCCGAATAAAAATATTTACAATGATACAAGTTCCTATCGATAAATTTGAAACTTGTATATTAATAGAATTTACTAAACGGAATCCCCGTCCTTTAGTAATCCGACAAGAATGTCAATAAATATTATCTGCACATCTAAATGTTTAAACGCTTAAACGTGATGTTTGTAATGTTACATCAAAAGTATATTGAATACAATGCACAAGTTAAACTTAATATTAACTACGCATTAAGATACCAACATGTACTGAATACATACACGTAATTCAAAAACGGGGTTCCTTATTACCATGATGTGTTATGGAACTACCCAATAATAAAACATACGTAAGAAATCTAAATAAAGATAATATATACTCGTATATGTAAATAAAGTAAATAAATCGTGTTATTATGTCCCAAACAGATCATTCTAATTACTAGAATAAAAGCAAATGCATCTAATACTCGTCTAAAAGATAAAGATTTGTTATATAAGAAAAAAAATCATGGGATGGGTTAAGTTTAATCTTTCTCTGTCAATTTTCTTTAATGCCGTCGCATTGGTGGCGGGCGCTATGGCATTAGGTTTGCCGTTGTGGGTTATTATAGAAAAAGATGAAGGAATGCTTGTAGCAAACGGTACTAGAAAAATAAACGCTGGACTATTCTTAAAAAGTGAAGTAGTCCAGTTGAAAGTGAACAACTTGACGCATGCGCAATGGGATGATGAGTCGTGGAGAAGCCATACTGGAAGAACATTTGGTAAATCTTATTTATTTTTATAGTCAGGTTAAGTTAATGGGTCAGTAGATTTAACCTTTTACCGCATGAGCATATTGCAAAAAAGGTTGTTTTCATCGAAAAGTCTCCTGTTACAAATTCAAACTGCTATGAATCTATTAAAAATGCTTCAATACTGATCAATCATGCCAAACATGTTGAGTTGACCATAGCCTTTGCAACAACATTAAATTTATTGATAACATGGCAACGGGGGACGTCTCAAAATTGCCTAAAATCATTATTTTGCGTTTTTTTTTAAAAATCAAAAGTGCTGCATCTTCTCAATGGATTGAGATAGAGTAAAAGGCTTTTCAGCGTAGGTTACAAAATTTTCTTGGCAATGGGGGGGGGGGGGGGCTGTCACACTTCAAACTATCAATAAGAAAGGGGCACATTCCCTCTCTGGCACCCCCTTGATGTACCTTTTTGATAGGGGGCAACACCGAAAAAGTGATCACTTTATTGAACAACATTTCTCAAACAAAAAAAAGTGTATCGGACCTTCATATGGCATTTTTTCACTATTTGAGGCATCAAAAGGGGGAGGGTGAAAAGCCGTCAAAACACGCCTAGATTAGGTAAAAGGTTAATAAATTTTGATAGTCCTTTTCGTTTGGGATGCAATACATCATAATTTTGATAAATATTTCTGCTACTTTCACCTTTACACAATATACATACATGTATATACTATCCGGGCTCCGGTCAACTTTTTAACCCAATTGATATGTTCGACTCTTAAAATCAAGACCATTCTTTTTTTTAAATGTGAAAAAAAATTGAAATGTTGGTAACTTGAAATGACATGAAAAGTAGATATCTAATAAAAAGGTGCACTATCTAACAGAGAAACTCTCTTTTGTTGAAATAGAATGAATTGCAAAACCTTTATTGTTCATTACATGTATGACGACACATACATTTTTGTACAGGAGCATTTTATAATGGTTTACTTTAAAAAAAAATGCTTATAATATTTCCTTTCCTTACAGATGAAGATGATATGACAGCAGTTAAAGCAACTTTGATTACCGGGTTGATCTTTGTAATATTGAGTTTATTCACATCTATTATCGTCTGCTGTTGTTACAAGAAGAAGCAGTATCGGAGATTTATGATCATATCATTTGGAACAATCGTGGCAACAATTATTGCAGGTAACTAAATGAATGTTGACGTGTCGTACAGGTGGAGGCTGTTAAAAGATACACCTTATATATCCAAGTGTTGTATTTCATGATTCCTTAGGGATCAATTTATTCTAAAACATTTACTGTTGATGATTTAAAATACATATGTCTGTCAATTTCAATTCCATTTATCTATTTTAATTACCATTTATATTATAGTAGCTTTAATGCTAATAAAGCCCTGTATCTATAACTGACGTGCAGCTTAAACCAGTTCTTTAGATCATAAGAAACGTTCAAATTTCTATTATTCCTAATGAACACACTCAATAAAACCGAGTTATTACCCTTGTTTGTTTTTTTAGCTATTTAGTGATCTCTTGATTGATATAGTTTTAGTTACAAATTACGCACTAAACGAACATAGCGTTGTATAAAGAACTTATATCACGTATACACGAGATTCCAAGTTCGTCTTGATTGTTTGTTTATACCGAATTTATTTTAGTTCGATTGTGTAGGAAGCTAAACTTTCGAATCCGTTCCTGGAACCAACCAATAATGAACAATGAGTGCAAAGTCTCTATTTTTCTATTTATAGTTATACTGATTACGACTGGACCTATTGTGTATGTTACGAAGATCGTAAAGGACTACGACAGAAAAATATTGTATGTGGGATTTTGGATGTGTGTGACGTCATCTGTATCAGCAGGAATATCGGCATGCTTTTCTATAGCGACGTTCCTTCTTTACCGTCAGAAGAAGCGCGGTAGCAGTCGTGGACACACTTCACATGGAATGCCAAACAACGCTTTTAACTGAAAAATCACAACCGTCCATCAAATGCAAACTAAAGTCAACAACTCTAGCACAAGATAAAGCACGAGTTTTATATAAAATGGTGTTCGGTTTAGAATGTTGAGAAATCCGCAGTTAGTTTGTTTTAATACTAGAATTGTCAGCAATTTTCATTGAAGAAGGTCCCTATATTTTTAATAATGACGTCATGACTGATAAACATGTAATGCACCTTTAAGTTTCACTATTAACACGGTATATGTTCCTCCTTGTTAATATGATTGTGTCATTATCAGTTGATTTTATATTAAATGTTAGATTTGTATGAAGTACGTGGAGAGCCAAAAACTATTATATATATTTTGCTATAACACATGAACTTAATATATAGAGAGCTGATCTTACATTCAAACATAGTTTTTCGTTTGTTTTATTGTTTTTTGTTTTTATTCTTTATATTTTAGCTATATGATTCAATTGAAATTAAAGTTGTCACTGGATGGACATAGAAAAAATTTACACTGAAAATGTTATTAAAATTGGTAGGTTTGGTGTCATAGAGAAAAAAAGAAAAAAGTAAAATAAAATTGAAGAAAAAGGGGAAATGGAAAATATACATGCGTAGTATTTAACTCAATATTCATATCAACATTTTAAACATATTTATAACACAATATCATGAAGGACAAAGGTATTGAACAAAATAAATATTCTATTTCAGCAAACATTCGAATCATTTTCAATGTATAAACAGATAAATAGAGAAGTCTAATGTTTAACAATAACAAAAAAGATAGGGTATAGAATAGAAATTCCACGAATCCATGTAATGAAGTGTGAATATGGCAGATGAAGGGAGATAACAAAAAATAGCTTTATATCAAACTCCTCACAGTGATTATTTCCCTTGGCAGAATAGAATTGATAAGGGGAGTTCACTATATAGGGTGTTTAGCTTTACATTTTGCATTCACTTCCCTTAAGATTGAGTTATTTACGTGTTTTATTATGTAGTGAATTGAATATACATTTTAATGAATTTAATAGAAAGGATTTCAGATTGGGGGAGCTCCGCCTACTCTTTCGTGGACCTGAACTCAAGCAGAGCACGACCTGTGGCATGGAAGCTCCAATAAGGTCTTCCTGCGATGACATACTCCTCAGGCCGTGCCAGGTGCACTCCCGACGCTCGACCTCCCAGTGGCCGTCGGTGGTCAGGAGTACCCCCAACTTCACCATGGGCCCTATGCAAAGGTGGCAGAGGTCACATGTTCCCATGACCTTATATAATTTAATTAGCATTGCGGTATCTACAATTAGCATTTAAATATCGGTTAGTTCGGTATAATCCAGTTACCTCTCTGGCGTGGGTTCGATCCCCGGGAGATGCTTTGGTAGTTTAGCGCGGAGGAAGGTTGTCTAGTACTGGTGTTACTCTCCAGGAACGATGGTTAGGAAACTACCCGCCCATATGACTGAAATACTGTTGAAAAAGGCGTAAAATGAAACAAACAAACAAACAAACAGTTCGGTATAAATTATTTGCACGAGCAGTGTCGTACTTGTTAAACTAAATTCCCCATATAATAAAGAAGCAGTTAAACCAAATGTTAAACATACAGTATGTTACATAACTATTTAGAAATTAAAAATACATGACAGAAATTATCTAAATTATCTCGTTAGCACGACTTCGTAACTCATGGCCACGACATAGTATCTCGTGTGCACCACTTAATTATCTCGTGCGCACGACTTAGTAACTCGTGGCCACGACATAGTATCTCGTTCCCACGACTGAATTATATCGTGGCCACGACTTAATTATCTCGTGCGAACGACTTAGTAATACGTGGCTTCGACATACTATCTCGTGGGCACCTCTTTATTATCTCGTGCGCACGACTTAGAAGCTCGTGGTCACGATAAAGTATCTCTTGTAGTTACTGTGAGTAATATGTATTTTATTTCACCGATTAAACCCCAGAATTTCACTTGTAAAGCAATTGGACAGAGTATATGCTCATTAACTGTGCAAAATATTGACAAATTAAGATATACGGTTCATAAATGAAATTTTGTCAATTATACATGTATTTTCGTGAAGCAACAGTCATGTTTGAAATGTTAGCTCAGTGGGTGTTGGATTACAGAGGTAGCACGTTCGATTCTACAAGTAAATAAACATCTTTTATACATTTTCTCTCGTTTTGATTATCATTTTAGAATATCATAATGCAAAAATAACGTTTAATTGAGGCTGTGTTAGGCCACATGTGTCACAAATCACATTCGTCACAAGTTTTTATGAATTTGTGACGAATGTGATCACATTCGTCACAAATGACTTTTGTGACGAATGTGATTGACCAAAATCGGGTAAAAATGCCAATCACAAACGTCACAAGCAAAATTGAGAATTTTTAAACAGGCGAATCACAAAATGTCACAAGTTTAATTTTCAATATGTGATACACGGAATATCATAAGGACAATCGTGGTTATATCAGTGCGATAGTACAAGGGCGACAATGCAATAAATCGATATTGTGATGTCGACATCACGATACCAATATCTTTTCACCACCATTGCATTATCGCCATCGTACTAACTTGTTGCAATATCGTATCGTCGGCATTGTATTGTCTTCATAGAACTGTCGCATTGTCCGTAATGGTATTGCTATCAAGTCGTCTTACGTTCTCGAAACCTTCAAAAAATTTTGGTGACAATGCACGGCATAGTATCAGACTTCAACTGGAAGTGATCTTTTACCTCTGTGAACCCTCAAATTTCTTCCCACCATACAGCGACAGTCTAAAGGAATCTCACAGACTTAATCTTAGTTTCAGTACAAATTATGACCATATTTACACCAATGAGACCA